CCCTGAGCTGTACATCTCCTCATTTCCCCTTCCCTTGTCAATAAACCTTTTATGAACCTTTCGCGTGTGCCTGCAGTGGAGTATTGACAAGTCCTTTTAAGCGCGCGGGTGAGGACCCACAGTCAGGCACCCCGTTTTGTATCGGGGTTGCTCTACAACAAAACGACTGCTTTTCCTTACAGGGACGCGATCTTTCAGCACGTACAGAGCATTTCTCCTCTAAGCAGCAATGCACGCCCCGCCCACATTCAGAGGCTTAAGCAAGGTCACCTTCAATTGTTTTGTTAGGGGAAAACATGATGAAATTGGCTTATGCTTTAAAGGCCTATTTTAAATGTTCACGTCTAAGAAGGCAATGTGCTTAATTAGTGCCACTTATTTTCGTAAGAACAATGTTAGTGCATGAACAGTGCAAAGCTTGCACCAGTCACAGGAAAGCTTCCAGATTAAAGACTTTAATTCGCTGCACACTAATGTAAAGTGTTTGTATTTCAAAGTTATATGATGAGTATAGTACACTTTCAAAACAGTGACTCCGTGCCTACAGAAATAATCACTTGTAGAAATAAGTTCTAAAGTCCTCACTTGAGAGCATGGTGAAGGTGGACGCCAGAACCAACTTCAAATAACTGGAAAAAAAGGTACAAATGGAACGGAAATGACTGAAGTAGCACGAAGGAAGTGTCACTGAACTCTAGAAATATCAGGTGATTTAACCTGCTCTGCTAATGCCCAACCTTCACTCCTTCCAAGTGAGGACACAGTGGAAAGGCAGCACCAGTGACCCAGGACGTGGGTCTCCACCAGAACCACGTGTTGGAACACTTCATCTGGAACTTCCAGCCTCCAGAACAGTGAAAGGTAAATGTTTGTTGTTTAAACCACCTAGTGTGTGTTGTTTTTGTTACAGAAACCTAATCAGGCTACAGCAAGGATGTCTAGGGCCTCCCTGGTGGTGCAAGGGGTTGAGCCCAGCACTGTGAAGCTGTCCACGCCCTCTGCAGCTGTGAAGCTGTCGTACCCTCTGGAGCTCGAGTTGGATCCCTGACCGGGCAGGGAGGGTCCCACCGGGCACAGCAGACCTTTCCTGTCTCCCCTCTGCTCCCCTCAGCAGTGTGTTTCAGTCAGTCTGCCTGTTCTGTTCCCCGCTCTGTCTCTGGTGAATCCTCTCATACCCCCCACCTCTGGCCTGTACTGTTCTTGTATGCATAAATAAATAAATCTTTAAAAAATAAATATAGCAAGGGCATTTAACAGATTTACTAAGGATCTGAAGAGCTTTTGTTTCCTTGTGTTATCTTTGGATTAGAATTAACAATAAAATATAAAATAGGAAAGGATTACCAATTTAGAAATTAAAGCAGAGAAACTAAATAGGTATTAATGTAGTCATAAATTGGCTTTAATATTTAATATTAAAGTTAATTTATTATATTAATATATTAGACTATAGTTGGTTTCTCAGCTGTAATTTCTAATTAATATACATATATTAAATAACAATGATAAGTCCATTACATGTTACCAGAAAAACATTTTTATAAAAAATAACTATTTGGGGGGAAAAAAAAAACAAGTGAGAAGAGTTGCTTTGTTCTAGTGTTTGCAAATCCCTGAGGTCTAACTTAAGCAAAGACAACTAGACCCCATCTCTGCTTTTCTGTTGCCATATCACACACCCTGTAGTCTCCGGGAAAACTCTTGTTCCTTCGTGAGAGAGCCAGAGTAGAAACGCAAACAATTTTCGACACACACAGTATTTTGTGTGACTAGACCCAGACCACACTTTGAGAATGAAGGGCCATGCAAATGAACGAGTATTTTTAACCCCTGTCCATGCAAATAAATATATATATATATATTATGTGCAAATAACATTCAAATGTTTATACAATTCCCACAGCCTGGCTAAGCGTGTGAGGAAAGCATCTACATCAAAAGCCAGGATGTTGCAACCTCTTGCAGCCTCGGCTGGCGAGAGTCCCTGGGTTCTGGCTGCGTCCTGCAGCAAGAGCAGCTTCTCCCCGCGGGAGATGAGATCCGAACCCGAGGCGCGGGGGAGCCGGGGGAGGCGCGGGCGGGAGACCCGCGGGCGGGGCCGAGGCTCCTGGCCTCGCTGGGCGGCGGCGGGTCTGGGGGCTTGGCCTGCCCGCCCCCCCCCCCCCCGTGGGCCCCGCGCTGCTGTCCGGGGCGCTTCCAGGTAGCGGCCGCGTCACCCGGGGTGGGAGCCGCCCGAGCCGGGCCCAGCGCGGCCTCTCCCGCGGCGGGCGGACACCCCGAGGCAGGAGGACACCCCGAGGCGGGCGGACACCCAGAGGTGGGCGGAAACCCCGAGGCGGGAGGTCACCCCGAGGTGGGCGGAAACCCCGCGCCGCTATCTGCACCCCGCCCGCTGGGGGCCCGAAACGGGGGGGGGGGGGGGAGGAGGCGGGGGGGGGGGCTGAGCAGGGGCCGCGTCTGGCCCCCCACGCCTCCTCCCCGCGGACCTCGCGGGAGCCCCCGGGTGTCGCCAGCTGGAAAGAGGGAATGAAACGGGCAAACCCTGAAACCACAGAGGCCGCGCCCTCCAGCCCCGGGGGACACCCCGCTCGGCCGCCATGTCCAGCCGCTCCCTTGAGACAACTTGAAAAAGACACCACAAAAATGAAAGCATCGCCCCACCAGCAGGGAGACCCGAAAGCAGGGAGGGAGTTCTGGTTCCGGGGGCTGCAAGACGAGGCACCCGCCCCTCGCCCCGCGGGGTGGCGGCCACTGCCCTCGGGCCGCCGTGGGGCCTCTCTGAGCCCGGGTCTCCCCTGCGCCCCAGGGTCACCCTCGTGGCAGGGGCTGTGCCCTCTTCAAGCCCGGAGCACCTGATCCGGAGGGACCACCCTGTCACCGCAGCAACCCCTCCTGCCCCCCTCATGTCAGCCCCCTGCCCCTGGCCCTGAAAACTCACCTAAGGGAAACCAGGTGCATGGGGCCCCCTCACACGAAGCAGTTCTGACACGCCTGCGGGAGCTGCCCGGCAAGGACAGGGCTGTCCAGCACACGCCCCCTTGGAAGCAGGTTGCAGTAGGGGGCCCGGGGTGGTGCAAGTCACAGGGCCGGCAGCACTTGCTCACCGCCCTGGGGAGCACACCTTAGTTAGACTGCAAAGGATGTCGGAAGAAGGCACAGGAACAGGCCGATGAAGACTTTTTCTTCTTTTTTATACCCAACTCCTCTAAAGATTCCTAGGGTAAATGCCAGGAGCCTCCCAAGGGCAGGGTTTGGGGCTGAAAATCCCAGCACTGCACCAATCATATGGTTGGCTTTCTAATTTTATTTCATTTTTTAATTTTTTAAAAGATTTATTTATGTATGCATACAAGAGCTGGGGTGCAGGCCAGAGATGTGGGGGTGAGAGGATTCACCAGAGACAGAGTGGGGAGCAGAACTGGTGGATGTAATGAAATTACACTGCTGAGGGGAGCAGCTGGGAGACAGGAGCGGTTCTGCCCGCCATATGGGTTGCTCTGAGGCCAGTGGGGATTGAACCGGCACTGCAGAGGCTGCGGACAGCTTCACAGCACTGCGTTCAACCGCCTGCGCCACCAGGGAGGCCCTATGCCTTAATAATTTTTGAGTGATTATTGTGTTTCTGGAAAAATCCAGTGCTGGCTCATATAAGTAATGAAGATTTAAGCAAACTGTTGGTGGAAACACTCTTTATACTTCTTAGAAATAAGAATTCGTTGGTTTAATTAAAGATAGCCAACTTTCAGTTAAGACAATGCCTATCAGTAAAGGGATATGTTTTGGGGGGGATTGACCATCCAACTGTTGGTGAGACGTTGGAGGAACTGGAATCCTCAGACACAACTGATAAATGTAAAATGGTACAACCACTTTGAAAAGTGGCTTCTGAAAAAATTAAACAGACACTTTCATATGGGCCATTGATTCCACCCCTAAGTCTTTATGAGCGAGAAGTGAAAGACGCTATTGGTAATGGCCTCAAACTGGAAACCACCTAAACCCACCAACTGGTGAATGAACAAACAAGTGGAGCTCTCTCCATGCAGGGGAATACTACTCAGCAATGAAAAAGAGGGCACTATTAACACACTGGGTGGATTTCAAATACTTCTGTAGTATAAGTATGTCCCAATGTTGCATAGGATGTGCTTTTACTAAAAAAGTATCTTGTGTATCAGAAACTCAAATTTAACCCAGTGTCCTGTATTTTTTTTTAATAGAGGCATGTTTTTATTTATTTATTTGTTTGTTTGTTTGTTTGTTTTGTTTATACATGCACTGGGTACAGTCAGAAGCGCGGGAGGGTGAGAGAATTCACCAGAGCCAGAGCGGGCAGCAGAGCAGGCAGAAGGACCGAAGGACACTGCTGAGGGGAGCAGAGGGCGGCAGGAGGGGTCTGCGCGCCATGTGGGACCCTCCTCCGGTGGCCGGGGAGCAGCCGGGGATTGAACCAGCGCTGCAGAGGCCGCGGGCAGCTTCGCAACCCAGCGCTCAACCGCTGCGCCACTGGGGAGGCCCCTGTATTTTTTTTTAAAGATTATTTATTTATACAAGAACCCGGGTACAGGCCAGATGTGCGGGAAGGTAAGAGGATTCACCAGAGACAGAGCAGGAAGCAGAACAGGCAGATCAACGGAAATACACTGCTGGGGGAACAGGGGGCCAGACAGGAGAGGTCTGCTGTGCCATGTGGGTTTCTCCCCAGCTGGCCAGGATCGAACCTGCGCTGTAGAGGCTGCGGACAGCTTCACGGTGTGGTGCTCAACTGCCTGCGCCATCAGGGAGGCCCGCATCCTGTATTTTATCTGACAATTCTGTCTCCAAATGAACCCTTAATATCAAGACTCTGGAAATTATGACTCTTCTCAGATTGGGGAACGGAATCATCGAATCACCTCTTATCTCAAAACTGGGAACACTCCACCAGTGCCAGGCTGGAAGTGATGTGATGTAGTTAGAAGTCTGTACAAGAAAATTACACCAACATTTATTAAGCGGTAATTTTCACAATATTTTAATTCTGTTCTGAAATCCATCTACAAATATCTCTACATAAGACCAAAGCCAGTGATTTAATAAATAAGAGGAATGTATATATCACTTTGCAAAAAAATAAGCCTTATACATTTATTTATGTCTATATATCACATTTGTAGAATCAGTTTCCCCAGGCTCAGGACCAAACAAGTGTGTACACAGCACATACACACCACACTGTCAAATCAAGTGGGTGTATATCCTCAAATGAAAAGCTATATCAAATTCATAAGCAGATATACAAAACAGGAACCAAACCAGGAGTACACAGTGACACGTGCCGTTCCGTACAGACGTGGTTTCCAGTTAAGAAGAGGGAAAACATTGCTTGGCTGGGTTTTAAGTGAGCGCTAATCACCATCACCATCACAAGAAATCAGCTGAATGACACGGTTTTCAGGGGGTTAACACACATGCGGATATTAGATCAACACACAACAAAGCCTTTAAATCTGCAAAAAGACATTAGCATGGATGGACAGCAGCGCCACGGCTTCCCGGAGACAGACGCTGAGGACAGTCAGCTTTGAAGGCCACACACGGGGACAGCTGCCTGGGAGAGCTACACACCAGGAAACCACAGGCGAGCGACACGCAGAGCTCAGTGCGCTGACCCCAGCGCATCATGCCCACGTGGCCTGGGCGCTAAGGTGACTACTTGACCGTGAGGGAACACTCTGCAGAGACACAGCATCGCTCTCCTATCCAGAGGCGGCGCAGGGCCTCAGCCGAGACCGGGTTGCTGGGTGGTGAGAACTGGCTTTGTAGTTAAGTCAGTTCTAATCCCACCCCGGGAAGTTGTCAGGCATGAACCCCACCCCCTGCATGAGGCAGAGGGCATTCATTCATCAAAAGCATCTCAGGAAGCGGTGGGGAGATGGCGCTGGTTGGGGTCCCCATGAATGACAACATGTAGTAGCAGGTTTTAGATTCCACAGCAACTTTTTTTTTTTAAGATTTATTTTATTTATGCATATAAGAACTGGGGTACAGACCAGCTCTCTGGGGCTGAGAGCATTCACCAGGGACAGAGAGGGGAGCAGAACAGGCGGATCCACTAAAATCCACTGCTGAGGGGAGCAGTGGGGAGACAGGAGAGGTCTGCCGTGCCCTGTGGGTCAGCTCCCTGGCCGGGGATCGAACTCAGGCCACAGTGGCTGGAGATTGCTTGACAGAGCTGAGACTAACCCCTGCGCCACCAGGGAAGCCCCTGCGCCAGCTCTTTGACATGATGCCTCCCAGCCAGCTGCGGACAAACCCCAGGCCAGGCTAACAGCCTCATGGCTTATGTCCTCCAGCCAAGCAGTCCTTGGGGGCCCCCAAGTCTTGGCAGAACCCGCAAGTGGCCAACCCACCCTGCATGTCCCACTTAGGATGGGGTCCCCCACCAGCGACTTCCCACCACCTTCCTCCTCAAGGTCTGGCCGCTGTCCCCCTCTCGGCGTCCCCACCCACCCTGCATGTGACAGGCTCCCTGCTGGGGAGGGGGCGTGGGGGGGGGGAGGATGCCCCCCATGCCATCCCTCAGTCACTTCTAGAAACCGAGACCCCAGCACAAAGCCCAAGGCCAGCTTCCCAGAAATTCCGAGGCTGCTGCAGGGTGAGAGGGAGGGAACTTGAAACCAAAACGCCTTGGGCGGGTGAGGCTGACCGGCAGGGAACTACATTTGGGGTCCCGGGGAAGCTTGCTCAGTAGAGAGCCCAGGAAGGAAGCCCTTCCTCTGCCCTCCGTTCACGCTGTTTATTGTGATCCTGAAGCGGTGGGGAAGCAACACTGATTGACTTCAAAGCAGTTTTAAAAACAGAGCCTTCACTGGAACAGGGGCCCGGCTTTTGTCAGGAGGGTTTCGCGGTCACGTCTAGTAAGCGCTGCGCTGATGGGTCTACAGCTCTGAAGGTATTAAAAAGGTCTCTCCCGGACGTATGAGATATGGTACAAAAATACATTTTTCCACGTACAAAAGAGATGGGGGAGGGGGTAGCCGGGGAGGCGAGATACTCTACAAGCTTCCACAGAATGGAGGAAAAAAGCAAACACCCAAACTATTTGGGGTTAAGAATATGCCCAAATAAAAGCCAAATCTAGGCCTTAAAAAGCCAGAGTTATTCAGACCTAACATCTAGAATTTCTACTGGAATTTCAAAGAATGTTCTCCCATGAAGCGACTTCCAAACACAGCACAGGTTCTCAGTAGAGACTTCGGCCCCCGGAGCGTATCAGATCGCGCAGGTGGCGCCCGGGACTACACTTAGCCAACCTGGGAGGCCCAGTGCCAACGTGGGACGGTCCCAGCGGTGCCCTCCAGCCCCCGGCACCTCGGGCCTCCCGGACTTACTAGGACTCAAAATGGGTTTCAGGTCTAGACCTCAGGACGGCCTTGGGGGTGCACGTGGGAGGGTGGGGGGAGAGGGTGGCTATTCTACCCAGACCAGGGCAGGCCCTGCACACCGACGCAAAGGCAGGGAGGGAGGGGCAGAGCTGACGTCCCTGGGTCGTTATGCCTGATGTCTCTAAGGATCTGTGACCAAATCAAAATAATTTCAATCCAGAAACCATAGGATCAAGACTTGCCCCCAGCAAAGCCATAGAGCTGGACACGAACCCGATGTAGGAGAGCCGGGGTCCCCTTATGTGCACCTTAAAAGTAGAAGTTGTGACAAGCGTGCTCCGATGCCTCTGCCCCTTCGCCCAGGCGCCGTCCCCGAAAGCCACATAGGGACACGGCACGAGAGCAGTCGCCCGGCCGCGGGCCTCCCCAGGGGTCGCAGGACCAGGTTGGCTGCATCCCTGCAAGTCTGCAGGCAGGGATCCGTGAAGGGGCTGCTGGGTGTGTTCACTGGTGACCCCAGCAGTCTTCAAAGCTGCTTTCCCCCTGCCCTCTGGGTCCTGAAGGGGTCTCCCCACCACCCTCAATCCCAGCCTTGCAAGGCCCCCGTCCAGGACCCACCGCTGTCTACCCTGCACAGACTCTCCTACCCCCAGACACCACCTAAATGGGACCACAGACTCGGGCGAAGAGCACCTTACAGGGAGTTACAGGAATTTCAGGAAAAACAACTCAGCTCTCCCCCAAGGCTAGTTTATTGCTGCCCATGGTCCCTGAGGGTGGTTTACAAGCAGCAGCGCCTGGGAAATGCGATTAGCTGCGCACATGTGTCTCCCTTCCAGGGGCCTGAGGTGGCCCAGAACATAACAAAACAACACAAAACACTGTGAAGGGTGCGTCTCCCCTAAGTGGGCCTCGCAGGTGAATGGCAAAGTCAGGACACAAACTCCGGAGTGAGCACCAGCACGCCCCCCGGCATTTCCTCGCCTGGTCCTTGAGTTTTCTTTTACAAAAGGCTGAGGTGAAAAATACACCCAAGTACAGAGGGGAGAACAAAACGAGGGGTTTCTAACCAGTGATTTCTCCACTTCACCATATGGTCGGGGGCGCGGCCTGGCTGGCCTCCTGCGCCGAGGTCCCGCCCGGGAGCCAAGCGCCACGTCAGAAGGGACACTGGTCAACACCGGCCGAGCGCGTGTCAAGCGAGGCTGGGAACACGGAAAACGCACACGGACTCCAGCCGCCACAGACCCCACGGGCGAGAACAGGGCTCCCACCGCCAGCCCCCCGCGGCCCCCTCCCCGGAGCTGGAATACACTTGACTCCATCTGCCTTTATTAAAAAACCTTACAAAAGATGTATCGAAATACTTGAAAAAATTCCTTTCCGCTCTACACAGGCAGACCTCTCTCCCTGCACCGCCCTCAGGGTCATCGCCTTGGTTGAAAAAACACGCCTCCCCCCACTCCCGCGAGCCGCGCCGCGCCACACCACCACCTCTGCTCCCGGGACGCATCCCCCCAGCACATCGCTGGCCGGAAAGACCCCCCAGAGTGCCCGTCTCCTGCTCAGGAATGTTTATTACGATTGTTTGGGGGTCGGGGTTCTCTTCTTCCTCCTCTTCTTCTGCTTCCTGAGCGGGGGCGCGGGGGCGGGGGGCGCCGGCCGGCTGGCTGATTGTCACTTGCTGTTGGCGTGGTCGAGGCTCTCCAGCACGCGGTTGAGGCGGATGTTGAGCAGTCTGACCTGGCTCTCCAGGTGCTCCAGCTTCTCCTCCACGCTCGGCCCGCTGGGCCCGCTGTGCCAGTACAGGCCCATGGGCCCGGTCATGAAGTAGACGGCCACCACCAGGCACAGGGGCAGCACCGCGCCCTCCGGCTCGCCCTCGTACTTGTGCAGGATGTACACGCACGACATGGAGAACAGGAGGACGCGGGCCACCCAGAAGGAGCGGCCGAACATCCGGTGCAGGACGCTGAAGGTGAAGCCCAGCACCAGGGACAGGAACCAGTAGGCCAGGAGGACAACGCCTACCAGCAGGAGGGCGCGGGCCGGGCTGCTGGCCACCGAGGACGGGCTGAAGTACTGGGAGAGGTTGGACACTGCGGGAAGCAAGAGAGAGAAGCCATGGTTACTGGCGGCCAGGGCTGGGCAGCTCGGCTCATGGCCGGGCCTGGGCATGAGCTGAGGAACTAAGGGGAGCTGCCTTAGTGACCTACATGCTCTCGGCGCCTAAGAGGACAGGGTGACCCTGTCCAGGAATCCAAAACACCTCTCGTGGTGGGGCAGGGCCAGCAAACTGTCCCGTGGTCGCCTTCCTTCCACAGGAGCCAATGCCCAGTTTCAGGCCAGCCCGGGGCTGCCAGGGCAATGGCATTTCTCATCTTCTCTGGCAGCTCCATGGCTAAGCTTTGGCCAGGGAGAGGTCAGCTGCAGTGCTGTGACTACTTCAAGGGTTTTTTCCTAAACATAGTGGAAATGTGCCCTTTACCTCTTCTCCTGCCTGCTGAAATTTGGATGCGATGGCTGGAGCAGCTGTCTTGGACCATAGAGGAAAGGAAGTCACCTATTAGGGAGCAATAACATGGAAGGCACCTGGGGCTCAAGGACGATGTGCTACACAGTCACCTACCTGCGGGCTTTCACATAAGAGAAATTAACTTCCATCTTGTTTAAGCTTCTGTTATTTGGGGCCTCTGCTACTCACAGCCAAACCTAATCGTAACAGGTACACACACGAAGCTCCATCTTAAGCATGGAGGAGTTGCATCTTCTGTGTGCCCAACTTTAGAAAATTTTCAAATAGAAAAGTTAAGAGAACAGTGAAATAAGTAGTCCTATTGAAACCACCTAGGCTTAACGACTGTTAACACCTACCCCATTTGGCTTCATCCAAGTCATGCACATTTTTTTACTGGGCTATTTCAAAGATACACAGGTCATGCTTCAAAGAGCACGTTCCCCCCCACCCCCATTTTATTGACAGAACTGTCCGTGTAAGTACAGAATAAAGACTTACATAGACTGTGAAATGATCAACACAGTGAGTTCAGTTAACATCCGCCAGTTCATATACAAACAAACAAGAGAAAAAATGTTTTTTCCCTTGTAATGAGATACTATGGATTGACTGTCTTAACAGCTTCCAGACGTATCACACAGCAGTGCCAGCTCTGGTCACCCTACTGTATATGACATCTCCAGCACTAATTGGCCTTGTAGCTGGGAGATTGTACCTACTGGCCACTTTCATCCAATCCTCCCACCCCCAACCCTCACCTCTGGCAACCACAAATCTGATCTCTTTTCCCGAGTTTCTTCCTTCTTAGATTCCACATAAAAGTCAGATCACACAGTAATTATCTTTCTCTGCCTTATTTCCACTCAGCATAATGCCCTCAAGGCCCATCTATGTTGTACGAATGGAAAGATTCCTTTCTCCTGGCTGTATAATATTCCATCATGTACAGACACCATATATTCATCTGGTGATGGATGCTAAGCTTGTGTCCATGTCCCGGCTACTGTGGATAATCCTGTTATGGACGTGAGGTTGTAGGTATCTTTTCAGCTTAGTGTTTTCATTTCCTTTGGTTATACTCCCAGAAGAACAATTGCTGGCTCAAAGGGTAGCTCTATCTTAGAATTTCTGAGGGGTCTCCATTCTGTCTCCCACGAAGGCTGCACCAATTTATAATCCCACCAATAAAGCACACGGGTTCCTTCCTCCCCAGCAGCATTGACCTCATGTCTGTTTGAGGAGGGCCATTCTCACAGGTGTGAGGTGATCTCTTCTTGTGGTTTTGATTTGTGTTTTCCTATATATTAGTGATTCTCAGCCCCTTTCCATGTCCTTGGTGTGCCTTTGTCAATCTTCCAGGGGAAAATGCTCATCCAGGTTTTTGCCTATTTTCAACTGGATTACTTGTTTCTTTGCCACCAAGTTGTATGACTTGTTGATGATATATTTTGGATAGTAACCCCTCAATAGATAGAGTGTTTGCAAATGTGGTTTTCCATTCAACTAGTTGTTTTTTCATTTTGTTGATGAGTTTTGGGGGCTTGCTGTCTTGTTTTCACTGTGCAGAATCTTTTCAGTTTGATTTCATCCCACTTGTTTTTTTTTTTTTTTTTTATTTTATAGGTTGTGCTTTAGGGTTTAGATCCAAAAAGTCATGGCCATGACCCTTGTTAAGAAGCTTACCACCTATGTTTTCTCCTAGTTTTATGGTTTCCAGTCTTACATTTAAGTCTTCGATCCATTTCAAGTTAATTTTTGTGAGTGGTAAAAGATAGGGGGCTAGTTTCATTATTTTACGTGTGAATATTCAATTTTTCTAGCATCAGTTATTGAAGAGACTCGTTTCTCCATCCTTGACTTGTCAAACACTAGTTGATACTTGTTGACCATCTACTTGTGGGTTTATATCTCGGTTCTCCAGTCTGTTCTACTGCTGCCTGTTTTTACGCCCATACCATCCCGCTTTGATTATTATAGCTTTGTAGTATACCTTGAAATCAGGATGTGTGCTGCCTCCAGCTTTGTTCTTTCTCAGAATTGCTTTGGCTACTTGGAGTCTTTTGTGGGTGCAAATAAATTTTAGAATTTTTTTTTTCTATAGAAAATTCAATTGGAATCTTGATAGGAATTGCGTTGACTGTACAGATGGCTTTGGGCAGTATGGACTTTGGAACAATATTAATCCTTCCTTCCAATCCATGAACAGGGGATACTTTTCCATTTACGTGTGTCTGGATTTCCTTCATTAATATCTTATAATTTTCAGGGTAGGGAGCTTTAACTGCCTTGGTTAAATTTATTTCTAAGGTCTTACTGTCTTTGATGCTACTGTTGAAGGGATCACTTTTGAATTTCCTTTACAGATAATCTGCTGTTAGCACACCGAGACACTACTGATTTCTGCATGTTAACTTTGTGCGACTTTACTGAATTCATTGATTAGATCTAAGAGTTTGGATGGAGTCTGCAGGATTTTCTATAAAGTTCTGTAAAATTTAGGATGTCTATATACAATTTCACTTCCTCCTTTCCAATTTGGATGTCTTTCAGTTTTACAAAATGGATAACATTCTGCTTACAACCATGAAACTATCTTCATGCCTGTGAATATTAAATTCCACGACATCCTTCAAGCCTTTCCAGTTGTCCAGGAACACAGAGCTGTCCCCTCACGTCTACCCCTCGGGACCCGTCACAGCTCACGTCGGGCCGCTGGGCACGCCGCATCCTTCTCTTTCATCTAGCAGGGGTCCATCACGCTAACTCCGAAAGCCTGTGGGACCTCTCAGAAGGTCCTTCGTTCTAGATTTTTCTGTTTCTTTATAGTGTTGGAGGAGACAGCCTGGGTGTGTTTAATCGACACTAGTGGTTTTCAAACTGGGGTGTGTGTCAGCATCCCAGTGGGCCCATGGACGTGTGGCCCCAACCACGTCTCTCGCCAGCCTCCAGGCCTCTGCTGTGCTGCACTGAGATCCCTGGGCCGAAGCCCAATCAACTCTATACCTCAGGGAGCGAGAGTGGCATGGGGTGGGTAAGTGTGGACACAGAACAAGCCTGGATGTGCACCCCTGAAGTTGGGGCTTCTCAGGCCTCCAGATGCGCCAACAGTATGAATACCCTATCTTGGCACCCCCAAAGGGATCAGATTGCCCCGCACGTTGGCTGCCCTCTGGCTGACCTCATAAACAGCAACCTGTTCCAGAAGGGAAGGTGCAGAGCTCCCCAGGGTCCCCGAAAGCTATTGTCCCCCTCTAGGTGCCTGCCAGAGGCAGGGGGAGCACTTTGACTGAATGCAGTTTTGACTCTGGTGTTGATGTTCACATAACCCTGCAGGCGAGACTTAACCCAATCTCTCCATCTCAGGACCCCGGGAGGGTTTATTCATGTAGCTTCTGCCTCTTCATCTTTACCATGTTAGAAACCCCCGCTAGCGTCTGATAAATTCTTAAAAAAAAAAAAAAAGGCGCTGTGACTCTGTGCTTGAATGTGCCTCGTGCTTCCAGGCGAGTTTTCGTTCTTTTTGTCTAGTTTTGTTGAAAAGTAACTGACAGACACCCCTTGTAGGTCAAGGTGCTCAGCCTGAAGCTCCGGTTTACGTGCATTGTATGGGCTCATTTTTCTGACTTAAGAAAAAGGAAGACTTGATTTTTTTCAGAGCAATTTCAGGTTCCCAGCGCGGGAGGCAGAGGTTTTTGATACGTTTTAAACGTCGCTGTTACTCACCCATTTAAAACTACAATGAGCGGGTCTCCCTTGGTGGCGCAGCGGTTGAGCGCTGGGCTGCGAAGCTGCCTGCAGCCTCTGCGGCGCCGGTTCGATCCCCGGCTGCTCCCCGGCCACCGGAGGAGGGTCCCGCATGGCGCGCAGACCTCTCCTGCCGCCCGCTGCTCCCCTCAGCAGTGTCCTTCGGTCCTTCTGCCTGCTCTGCTCCCCGCTCTGGCTCTGGTGAATTCTCTCACCCTCCCACGCTTCTGACTGTACCCAGTGCTTGTATAAATAAATAAATTAAAAAAAAAAAAAAAAAACTACAATGAGCTCATGAGAGGTTAACAAAAATGTAGTTTTCACAGGAAACAGGCCGGTGCGGCGCCCCTCACAGGAGGGCGGCGGGGACGGCGGGGTGGGCGCCTCTGCAGCCCCGGTCCGCTCTGCGGGAGCGGCCGGAGCCGCACGGGAGTCGGGCCCAGGCGCGCCCGCGGCCACGAAGGTCGTTTAAAAATTTCTGGGGCCCTTGAGCAAAGGGCGAGGAGGAAGGCGAGGAGGTGCGTCTGCGGGAGGCCCCGCCCGCCCAGAGGCGTCTCCCCGCTGGCGCCCCGGGGTCCCGGGTGAGGGGCGCGGCGGGTGAGGGGCGCGGCGCCGGCTCTGCGCTCACAGAAGGCGCGGCCGGCCCGTCCCTGCAGGCCGCGCTCCGCGCCGCTGCGCCCCGCGCCTCAGTGGCCCCGCGCCTGCGGCCAGCGACCCTCCGGCGTTTCTCTTTTCCTTCCGGCTCGTGTCACGGGCGTCCGCCCTTCCGGCCCGTCCCGGCGCGGGGAGGCAGGGGCTTCTTTTTGACGGCTGAGTAGTACTCCACGCGCGGCGCGGCCGAGGCGCTGGCGGGGCTCTGGGGCCACACCCGCGGGCGGGGTTCGCAGACAGTGTTCAAACACGAACAATGGTCGGGGAGAGGATGTCCTGAGCGGATCCCACGCAGGCTTCGTGGACGCCGCCCCCGCCCCAGACCACAGCCCTCAGGACACTGGGAAGGAGAAATCCCGTCACCGCCGGAGGGAGGGTGGCCGGACCGAGGGTGGCGCTGGGCAGCCAGGTCGGGTATAAAACCGGACCCGTGGCCTTGGGGGCTCCCGCTCCGTCGCTCGCCCCCGGCTCCCGGCTCGCGGCAGCTCTCAGGCGCCTTTGGGGTTCCAGGTCGGCGGGTCGGGGAGGGCGCGTTTGACACTTCGTCTCCCGCTTTTCTCCCCGAGCCGCGTCCTCATCCCCTCCCTGTGAGTGACCTTCGTCGGCCTCCCGCCTCGCCCGCAGCGGGGCGCCGGCAAGTCCTCTGAGCGCGCGGGTGGGGACCCGCAGCCAGGCACCCCGTTTTGTATGGGGGCTGCCCCGGAACACCATGACGTAAACATTTTTAAAAATTAATTAAAAACAAAAAGAACGCCTGGCTCCGGGCACAGCCTCCGCGAGGCCCCGCACTCCGGGCCGAGCTCCGCTCGCGTCCGACATGCCGGCGCCGCCCCGCCCTCCGGCCCGCGGCGGGACGAGGAGCCGGGCCAGGGAGAGCTGGGGCCGTGGGCGGGAAAGGGCCGAGGGCGGGGCCGGGCCAGGGCCGTGGGCGGGGCCAGGGCGGTGGGCGGGGCCGGGCCAGGGTCGAGGGCGGGGCCGGGCCAGGGCCGTGGGCGGGAAAGGGCCGAGGGCGGGGCCAGGGCCGTGGGCGGGGCCAGGCCAGGGTCGAGGGCGGGGCTGTAAGCCACCCCCCCCACCCCCCACCCCCCCCCCCGCTCAGCCAAGGCCCCAGGGCCACGCCCAGGCTCCTCTCAAGCCCCGCTCGGCTGCCCCTGACCCTTCGGCCGCGCAGCGGGGCTCCCCGAGCCGGGCTAAGTTCTCTCAATTGAACCCAAGGTTCAAGGCGGGAGGTGGGGTCCCCGCGGCGGAGAGGGCGACAGCAGGTGACCCGGCCCCCCACCTGTGCCCCGCCCGCCGCTCCGCCTGAGCCCGACCTCTGACCCGCAGGCGGAGTCTCCGAGCGGGCGGCTGGCCCTGGCCAGGGGCGCCCTCCGCTGGCCGGCGCGTGACCTTCTGAGTGTGACCGTGGTGACAGGAAACACACCTGGATAAACCCACCGTTTCCCACGCCGCGCGCGACCAGGCGCCCCGTGGTTGGAAACACAACCGTCTGCACCCCGACGGCACTTCTCTGAACGACGGGGCTTCTGGAAGGGGCTGCAGGGGAACGGACCACACGACCAGAGGGTTGGAACTTCCAGGCTCATCCCGACCTCTGGGAAGGGAGGGGACAGTGAATCCAAGCCCAGAGGTGCCCACGCGTCGGGGCCTTCAGAAAACCCAAAGCTGGGGCTCGGGGGGCGCGGCGGCGAGCACGGGGGCTGACCAGCAGCCTGCGCCTGCCTCGCCGCACTCCTGACTAATCCTGGGAAGGAGCCAGTGTGCAGCGCCCTGGGGCCTGTGGGCCGCTCTGAGGAGGGGTCTGGGGTCCCCCGCTTGCAGCCAGGTGGTCAGAAGCGCAGGTGACAGTCTGAAGTGGGATTCCGGCCCCACGGGCTCCACACCCGGAAGCTGGTGTCACGATTGAGCTCCATTTGTCGACGTCTGGCCGGTGTCCGCAGAGATGGGCGTGAGCTGCTCGGTGGGCGGCAGACACCGTGGGGGGGCCGAGACTGCACCGGCTCACATGGACCCCCGCTCTCCTTCCGCAAGCCTGGGACTTGGGCCCGTGCCAGCAGAGGCACCGACGTGACTGGCCCCCAATAAACACAGGGAGCTCAGTGTCTGAGAGGCATCGCCGGGACAGCAGCGCTCAGCGGCCTGTGCCTGGTCCCACTCACCTTCCCCTTTGCTGGCAGAGCCGAGTCCTTTGCACTGAGTCACGGCCGTGAGGGCCACCAGGTACCGGCCCTGGAGGGTCCCCGGGCCCTCACTCTGGGCCCTGCAGACTGTGGAAGAGGCTTGCACCAGGGCTGTGTCCTTCAGCTCAGCATGTCCAGGGCTGCCTCCGGCCCTGGAGCACAGCAGCGAAGCTCCACAGGCCGGTTTAGCAGCATCCCGGGACCCCATACAGTGGCCAGTCTGGCAGCGTCCTGGGCCCCATGTGGCTCGTGCAGCCACTGATGATTGACCACATTCTCAGTATTAAATTCCTTTCTGCCTAGACAATGGGGTTTCTTCTGTGTTTATTGACTTTTCAGTTGTTTACGTGACCATGGGATTCGGGGAGTACCACTTCACCCCCCACGAATGCACGGGCCTCGCTCACCTCCACCCAAACCAACAGCGCGTTCTCACAGATGCCTGTAACCCCGGCAGCTTGCCTGGGATGGGGTGGGGGGCACAGGGGGGTCAGCACCTGATCTTGAGTACATCTGGGAACCTCAGCCCGATGACCCTTCACATGTGCCGCCGTCACAACAGGGATGTTCACCGTACCCCGAGTGCCCCCTCAGTGCCCTGTTGCATACCGTGAGAACCATTCCACGAATGCCCCCCAACACCTACCATCGAGTCCAAGGACATCCAAGATGTCTGTCCAGACTTTCCACACGGTCTCCACGAACATGTCCACTCCCAGCACAAACCTCTCGGTCAGCCTGGTCAGGAACTGCGGAGACAAGAGAACGGTCACCACCAGCCTGGCCAGCTCCCACCCTCCTAGTCACAAGCCCATCGCTCGCATGTCAGGGGGACACACTGGGATCCCTGGTGCTGACAGAGCAACTCTGGACTTGGAACCGGGGCTCCCCCACCTGAGCGTCCTGGCACCTGCACCCCGGAGACTCTGGCTGTAGGGACCAGCTGTCTCGGGCGTTTATTCACTCCAGGTTCTCCAGAATGGGCTCGAATGATGTGAGCATGGGGGTTTCACTTCACCTTCCTTTTTGGGGGTATGTGATAGTACGGACCCAAGGCCCAAAACTCCAGAGCCACAATGGGGAGCCCAGTGAGGACTCACACCACTGCACCTGAACCCCTTCCCAGAGCACTGTCACCGCCACCCCTTACAGCACTGGTGAGCACGGCACCCAGCCCCCGCCCCCACGGGGTGAGCCACTCTGCGGCTTTGCTCGTGGACACTCTGTCTTGGGGAGACCCGAGGCTGGGCCGTGTGGAGCGGCCTCGTTCTTTTTGAAGATGGCATGGCTCCTGGTGCCCCCGCCCTGGGCTGCACAGTCGCCGCCTGGGTGTCCTGCTCGGACGGACCCCAGGACAGGAGGGGGGGGGGCAGCCAGGGCAGCAGAGGACCCGGTGACCTGAGGCTGGGCGGGAGCTTGGGCAGCCGCGGTTCCAACCCAGCTCCGCCCTGCGCCCAGGTGAGGAGGGGTGGTCGACTCTAAGGCCTGTATGTCAGGGCTCTGGCTGACAAAGGAGACAGAGGTACCAGCTTCAGCGACACCCCAGGGCTGTCGGTACACGGGGAAGGCCGGAAGCCCCGCACCGGGACTCTGCCAGAAGCACCGGCCCCCGGAAGGCAGCGCTAGGACGCGGATGAGCAGCAGCCCCCAGGCACCCGGGGGGAGGGTGGGGAGACCAGCCCTGGCCTTCCACGCAGAGCGCGGGGCGGGCACCCCACGGAGGCGGAGAGCAGATCAGGGCTGCCAGGGTGGCGGCGGGGGCCGCCAAGGCCCGGGTCTCTCTGGGCCATGAAATGGCTGCGGTGGAGGTGGGCCGCCCGGCATTCTACGCTCCAGGGGGGGCTTGCACTGTGTGTGAACGGCACCCCACAAAGCTGCTGTTAAAAAATGGAAGGATTTAAGAAAGGTAATGGGAGGATTGGCACTGGAGGGAGAGGAGCCTTGCCGAGCTGGCCAGGAGGACGCGGAGGGAAGGGGGCGTGGACGGCGGGGGGCAGGCGCTGCGTGGGTCTGGGCCTGTTCTTTTTTAAGCACTTCACCGCCGTGTCAGCCGTGTCATTTACATACCGGGCGGCTCACGTCTTTGAAGTGTGCGACTTGGTGGTTTTTAGAACATTCGCGAGGTTGTACAGTCGTCACCACGGTCAGATTTAGAGTACTCGTCACCCCAGGAGGAGCCTATCCCATCAGCAGCCACCCCCACCCCGCCCCCAGGCAGGCCCTCTCCTTCCTGTCCCACGGTCCTGCCCGGCTCTGTCCAGGCGGGGTGAGGCCTGGCCCTCTCCGGCCCACGGCTCCACTCCACCTCCCTCTCCTGTCCCGATCCTTTGAAGGACGGGCCACTTGTACACTTTCGTCAACAGAGTCAGTTAAAATTTGTCAAAATGTAGGGGAAAAAGGCTCCTGGCTACGAGAAAAGGGCCCAGGGTCTTTAAGTGGGCACCCACGCCCTCAAGGGTGAGGCGGGAGGGCCAGTCCCTGCAGCCAACCCTCCGACCTCTCCAGCCTATTTCCTGTGAAATGGGAGGGAGATGCTGCGCCCAAGGGCCTAGGGTGGCCACACGGGCAGGGCTGGGACACAGCACCCCCAAGGACAGAGGCCTGGCCCTCGCCCCAGTCTGGGCCGTCAACTGCCCCCGTGGGTCCTCAAGCAGGTGCACAGAAACCCGAGACCCCTGAGCCACGGCCGCCCTGAAACCCGGCAGGGGGTAGAAGGAGGGCCCTGCAGGGCTGCACCGGGAGCCGCCAGGAACACCCTGACCACGTCCCCTGGTGAAGAGGGCCCTCCGAGGGGTGCGCCCCAAACCCCCATCGTCTTGACCGGCACCTAGAATGTGGGGGTGCTGGGGACAGGCCTTGGAGATGATACAGGTCGGTGAGGGGGTGAGGGCAGCTAACTCCCCCATCTCCGGTCCGAGGACCAGCCAGACAAGACCAGTGAGGATGCAGGGGAAGAGGGCCGGCTGCACCAGGAGGGACGCCCAGGAAGACCATCCCCGGCCACGCCTGGTGCAGGTTCCCAGCAAATTCCTGGTGCTTGAGCCGTCCGGTCTGGGGACTTTGCTGTGGCCGCCGCAAGATGAACGCAGAGGTCACGGCAGAGCAGAGTGCTCTGGTGACGCCCCAAACCTGCCCAGAGAAGCCCCGGGGTCTCACTGCAAGTTCAGGGGCACATGGGGACAGTGCTCAGGACACAGGACAGTGGACAAGACACAGAGGACACATAGGACAGTGGCCAGGACACAGAGACACATGGGACAGTGGACACACAGGACAGTGGAGGGGACAGAGGACACACCGGACAGTGGACAGGACACGGAGGACAGTGGACAGGACAGAGACAAAGCTGAGCTCAGAAGCCTGGCGCTGGTGGCCAGTGTGTGGCTCTCTCCTCGTGTGAGTTGGACAGCTTTGAAAGTGAGGCAAGGAAGACTCTGAGAGACGTGGGAGGAGACAAAAGGACCGAAGGTCACGATTTTATCGCCCTCTTACAGCAGAGGCCGGACCCAACCCCGGGGAGGGGTGGGGATGGTGGTTTCCTGCAGCGTAACCTCTCTTCACCCCTCACCCCAGACACTTGCCAAGCGGCCCCAGGAAAATCAGGCAAAAGAAGCCGCCGGAGGAGGAGGGGCTCAGAGGCTCCCAGGCCTGCGAGGAGCACACCGGGGGCACCGTCTGCACAGAAAAGGCTGAGACAGGACGGGAAGGGCAGGAGGCAGCTGGGGCACAACCGGCTGGGCCAGGGCACAGACCCTGGTGGGACCCTTTTTTATAAAAGAAAAAAAGTGTGTCTGTCATGGACAAGGAGAGACAAGGTTGGGAATACAGGTGAGCAGCTCGGGACCCCAGCAGTCCCTTATTCTAATTTCTCTGCACTTTAAAATTTCTGAAAGTTGTGGGCCTCCATGGTGGCCTAGGGGTTGACTCAGACCCACCACCGCAAAGGCCTGAGATCAATCCCAGGCCAGGGAGCTACCCACAGGGCGCAGCAGACCTCTCTGTCCCCGCTGCTCCCCTCAGCGGCGTATCTCAGTGAGTCCACCTGCTCTGCTCCCCACTCTGTCTTTGGTGAGTCCTCTCCCCCCACACCTCTGGCCTGCACCCCAGTTCTTCTACACACAAAAAAAAATTAAAACATAGTTTTAAATTTCTGAAACTCCAAAGTTGGAGGAAACACAATTGTTTCCCAGGACGCATACATGTCCAAATCCATCCACTTGTGTGTTTTTGTGCATTTATTCACCCTGAGGTATGTCAATTACAGCAAAGCTGTGAAGTGCTGGTGGCAAAAAGGACTGCAAAGTGTCAAAGTTCTATTGCTCAAAATATTCTCTTGCAAACAACAAGCAATGTAAATCTCTTAAAAAAAAAAAAAAAAAGTGCCTCCCCTGGTGGTGCAGCGGTTGAGTGCTGGGCTGAGAAGCTGCCCGCAGCCTCTGCAGCGCCAGTTCGATCCCTGGCCAGTTTGATCCCCGGCCGGTTCGGTCCCCGGCCACAGGCGAGGGTCTCACATGGCGCGCAGACCTCTCCTGCCGCGCCTGCTGCTCCCCTCAGCAGTGTACTTTGGTCCTTCTGCCTGTTCTGTTCCCCGCTCTGGCTCTGGTGAATCCTCTCACCCTCCCGCGCATCTGGCCTGTACCCCGGTTCTTGTATAAAAAAATAAATAAATCTTTAAAAAAAAAAAAAAAAAAAGACCAGCAGCTCAGTGGGAAAATGGCAAAGAAAACAAAAAGCAGTTTCCAGAAACGCAGCGGATTCTGAAGCCCCAGCAGCCTGTGTAGCTCCACACAGAGAAACCATAGGGGCCCCAGGAGCTTGGCTGGAGCAGGGGGATGGAAGCCGTGGGGCGTAGTCAGCATTCGGGTGTGGGGTCAGGCCTGGCCTGAGACTTAAACCGTGTACTGAGGGTGCGAAAGGACAGCCCCGGGGTACGCAGCCAGTCGGAGAGTGGAATCATGGGGCGGGAAGCCACAACAACCCACTTGGAGAGCTGCGTGCTTGTCACTGGGGGCGTTCGCTGGGCACACTCCATGCAGAAGAGAACACCCATTACACTGCAATCAAGATGTTAGCACGACCAGGCCTCGCGACTCAGCAACTCCATGCCCGGCAGCCCACTGCGGTCCCCTGGCCTGGCTTAGGAAACGAGCGAAGCGGTGATCAGCAGGGGCGGGCGCTGTGGGGCTCTGCAGCCCTCCAGAAAGAAGGAAGTTCTGTACTGGCCAGTTCTGATCTCAAGAGGTGGTGCAGGACAGCATGTATCCTGTGAAAGCAACAAAACCACTGCAGGGGGTGGGGGGCGGCCTATCCTAGTGTTTGGGGCGGCTCTAGTTGGCTGCTTGGGAGTCAAGGGATGGGGGCTGAGGAGGGAGCAATATGTATTTTCTTAAGCTCTGAATTCTCTGAAATGACACCCCATGCAACTACGCTCTTATATTTTACACATAGGTACAACAGCGTTAAGCCCTTTTAAAAAGAAAGAAACGAGGCCACCCTGGTGGCGCAGGGGTTAGTCTCAGCACTATGAAGCTTTCCGCAGCCACTGCAGCAAGAGTTCAATCCCTGGCCAGGGAGCTACCCACACGGCGCAGCAGACCTCTCCCCTCAGCAGAGGATTTCAGTGGATCCACCTGTTCTGCTCCCCACTCTCTCTGGTGAGTCCTCTCACCCCCTGCGCTTCTGGCCTGCACCCCAGCTCTTGAATGCATAAATAAATCAAATAAATCTTTAGGGAAAACAAAAGCACAGGACAGGACAGGAGTGGCCACCCTTTCCTGTTAATTCGTCTTCCCGGATCAACCAACCCAGCTCCTGGGGGCAGAGCACACCTTTCTCCCGGGTCTTTGCAATGTCTTCCCGGATCACTAAGGAGTCTGCATTGTTAACCCTTGGGGCCTGCATAGTGTGACCCGGCTGTCCTCTCCCCAAGGTCCCAGCCACACAACAGCGCTCCCTAAGCCTCACCCACACCACACCTGTTCCCTCCGCTGGGATGACTGACCTATGGCCGGGACCTCATTCAGGTCACTGCGTTCCACTTACTTCCAGCTCTGCAGTTATGAGCGTGAGCACGCCCCACTTTTTACCACTGATTAGCAGAGCTGTGGGGAGAGGCTCACCAAGCTTAAACAAAAATGATCTACCGTTTTTATTCCATCCTCCTGTTCAGTTTCACTGGTGGTGCTGAGCACTCAACCTGATTAGATTGACTTCGCACTCATGCATTCCCCCACCCCCACCCCACCCCCCGGCCCCCGCTACCACACCACCAGGGGCAGTAAGTCCATTCACAAGGTATGCAGCCATCCTCTCGATCTGGTTCCAGAACATTCTCATCACCCCAAGTGGAATCCCCCCTAGCAATATCTCCTCTGCTTTCCGTCTCTACAGGCGCCCAGCAGAGGACTCTCAGAACACGTGACCTCTCCCGTCTGGTCTCTGTCATCCTTCCAAGGTGCGGCCACCTCGGCACAGGTGTCAGGGCTTCATCCCTTTCCACAGCTAGTCCTCGCACGTGGGACTTTCTCCATCACCAGCTGATAGACAGACAGCGTGTCCACTTCGGGGCTCTGCTAGCACATGTGCCAGCTGCGAGATCATTTCTCAGTGAACAGGACTGATTCGGAGGATTCCGTTTCCTCCACCGTGACCTTCTAGCACTAACGACACGCTTGTTCAGTCGTGCCAAGGATCCCCTTCCACCTAGCCCAAGCAAAGGTGGCACAGCTGGGATGGGAACCCGTGCCTGCTGGACATGCCTAGACCAAGCCAGAGGGCTGCGGCTCTATTTTAGACCAGTCCTAGGTTAGACTCTGGGGGTTTCTTCAAGCACCCCCAACTCCACAACCCACCCTGCAGGTCTGCTCTAAGAGTCAACCTGACACTAAAAGCTACTGACCGCTTGGCTGGTCTCGGGAGGAAAATAATGGCAGGTCAGGCTCCTTCTAGATGCTATGCAGATGGGGGACCGGGCAGGGTCGTGAGGCAGGAAGACCAGGGTCCTCCAGTCCTGGCTCCGCCACTCAGGCTGACCCGAGGCCGGTCACTCGGTCACTCTCTGTGCCTCACTTCGCTCGTCTGTTAAGTGGAAACAGCGGCAGGACCCTCATAGGTGGGATAAGGGTTAAATGAGCAACTCTAGCGCGACGAGGACCCAGCAGAGCCTGGGGAACCAGTGTTCGCGTCGTCTCTGCAAGGCCCCGGCCCTGCTTCACCCCCACAGCAGCCCTGACCGCAGGATTCTCAGATTCTTGGCCAGAATACGGCTGCCTTAGTGATCCCAGCCCAGAGGTTAAACCCTTCAAAATCTGATTTACACTTCATGGCAGGGACCTGAGGTTCTGCACCCAGCTGCTGGCCGAGACGTGGCTGCTAGTGCTTACCCCGCACAAAAATGTCCAGTTTCTTTTTGTTGTAAAACAAGTGATTTCTGCCTCCAATTTGCTCGGGTGGTAAATTCATTTTGTCTACGACCTTTCTGCCCAGGGAGTCCAGCAACCTTTGAATTCAGGTGTCAAATGTGCTTTCTCCTCCCTTGGCCACCTACAACCGCCCCAAATGCCACCCTGCACCAGAGGCCGGTGCACTCCCATGGAAGGCGGGGTGGGGGTGGGGGGGCTTAGAAGTCAGTTCCCACCCAGCGAAGCTGTCTCTGTTACCCAGTAACAACACACAGTCGACTGACTCAGGTTTGGGTGTCTTCTCCCCTCCATCTGAAGTACCAGGATACTGTTCTTCTTAACCCTGAAAGTCCTTCCGGCAGAGGTAAGCAAGATCTCTGGGTACCTGCATCGGGATCAAACGCGACCCACTGGCCCTGCTCCAGCCTGTCCTCTGGCCCAGGAGGGGCCCTGATTCACCACCGCAGCCTCACATCCTTACATCCCTAACATGAAATTGAGGCTTAAAAAGTGAAGTCCGGGGCCTCCCTGGTGGCGCAGGCAGTTGAGCGCAGCGCTGTGAAGCTGTCCACAGCCTCTGCAGTGCCGGTTCAATCCCTGCCGGCTGCAGAGACACCCACATGGCGCGGCAGACCTCTCCGGTCTCCCCGCTGCTCCCCTCAGCAGTGGATTTCATTAGATCTGCCTGTTCTGCTCCCCACTCTGACTCTGGTGAATCCTCTCACCCTCCTGTACCCCGGTTCTTGTACAAATAAATCTTAAAAAAAAAAAAAAAGTGAAGTCCCTTGCTCAGAGTCATCCACCCCCAACTTGCAGGCCAACTTCTCCCCATTCCCAAACCCCACAGCCAGAAAGCGCCAGAGGTGAACGGAAGTGCAAGGCTGAACCCCGAGAACCACACCTCCGCAGGCAGCGTGCCCCACTGACTTCCCCTTTCTGGGGGCTCCCCGGTGGGCTCTGGCCGAGAGGGGCCACGCGGCGCCGGCCCGAGGGGCTCCGGGAAGCGCCGGCAGCACCCGGGGGTGGGGACTGGGGTCCGCGGGATCGGAAACCGCCACGGCGGGTAACCACCGCTCCCGGGCGGCACACAGTGGGTCTGCGCGCGGGGGGGTCACCGCGCCCGGCAACAGGGCGCAGGCAGCGCCCCTTCTCGCCTGGCCCCACAAACAAACAGGCGGCACATCCAGGAGGCGGGGGCGCCGGGGGGCGGGGGCCGCGGGGGGCCCGGGGGGCGCGGGGCGCCTGGCTCACAGTGGGCGCGCGGCGGGGGGCGCGGGGGGGCGGGGGGCGGGGGGCGCGGGGCGGGGCCCCGCCTGGCTCACGGCGGGCGCTCGCGCGCGGGGCCCGGGTGAATGGGCGGCGGGTCGGCGCGCGGCGGGGAGCGCGCCCCGGGGCCAAGGTCCGCGGCGAGGAGCGGCGGGCGGGCGCGGAGGCCCCGACCGGAAGCGCCCGGCCCGGCCCGGCCCGGCCCGGCCCGGCCCGCAGCACCCGCCCGATCGGCGCCCGGCCGGCCGGCCCGAGCCCCGAGGCCGCGCGCCCGGGGCGGGGCGGGGCGGGCGAGTGACCGCGGGACGCCCACCTTCTGCGCGGCGCGCACGTTGTCCTCGCCCAGCAGGCTGCCGACGCTCTGCGAGAAGGTGCTGGCGGCGCGGCGCGGGCCGCTCTTCTCCGGGCCGCCGCGGCCCCGCGCGCCCTGCGCGCCCGGCGCCAGCAGCCCGAGCAGCAGCAGCAGCAGCAGCGGCGGCCGCAGCCCGGCCCGGGCCCGGGGTCCGCCCGAGGCAAGCGCGCCCATGCCGAGGCCGGGGGACGGGGAGCAGGCGACGGCCGCGGGGACGCGGGGCTCGGCGGGGCCGCGTGGGCGCGCTCGGGGGCCGCGCGCCGCGCTCTGCCCGCCGCCGGCGCGCACCTGCCCCGCCCCGCCCCGCCCCGCCCCCGCCGGCCCCGCCCCCGCCCGCGCGGCCCCGCCCCGCGCCGGCTCGCCCCGCCCACCGGGCCCCGCCCCGCCCCCGGCCCCCTCCCGCCCGGGCCCCGGGGCTCAGCCGGACCCTCTTTTTAAAAAATAATCTCTCGCCCTCCCGTGCCAGGAAACCCCGCCGGGGAGGCCGGCGGCAGCCTCCGCGGGGACCGCGGCCCAGGGCGGGGGCTCGCGCCCGCGAGTTTCAGGGCCGCGTCGCCGTCCCCATGGCGACGGCCTACGCCGCCCGGCGCGGCCGCCCCGCCCCCGGCGGGGTCCCGGCCCGGGGCCGCTGCGTCCGGCCGCGCCGGGGTCCCCGCGCGTGGGCGGGACGGGCAGACCCCGCTCGGGGGACCCCGAGTCAAGGGGGCGGCCGAGTGGAGCAGAGAAAACCGGAGAAAAAAACTCAGTTTTGCCATCCAAACCGCGAGACACCGTGTCTTATTCTGAATTTACGTTTTTTCTGGGTTCCCGGTGAGGTTTTCGTGTTTCTGGTTGACTCTTTGGTGAATTGCTGGCTTGTCTGTTCTCGCCGTTATCTCTTGGGCTGTTTATCTTCTTTCTAAATTATTTTACTATTATTTTTTTTTATTTTGAGGGCCTCCCTGGCGGCGCAAGGAGTTGAGCACCGCACTGTGAAGCTGTCCGCAGCCTCTGCAGCACGAGTTCGATCCCCGGCCGGCCAGGGAGCAACCCACACGGCGCAGCAGACCTCTCCTGACTCGCCCGCTGCTCCCCTCAGCAGTGTGTTTCATCAGTCTGCCTGTTCTGCTCCCCGCTCTGTCTCTGGTGAATCCTCTCACCCTTCCACACCTCTGGCCTGTACCCCAGTTCTTGTATAAATAAATTAATCTTTAGAAAAAATAAAAGAAAGAAAGGGTTAGGGCCTCCCTGGTAGTGCAGGGATTAAATCTCAGTGCTATCAGGTTATCTCCAGACACTGAGGCCTGAGATCAATCCCCTGCCAGGGAGTGACCCACAGGGTGCAGCAGACCTCTCCTGACTCCCGCTGCTCCCCTCAGCAGTGGGTTTCAGTCAGTCTGCCTGTTGTGTCCTCCACTCTGTCTCAGGTGGATCCTCTCACACACACACATACCCCCATCTCTGGCCTGTACCCTAGCTCTTGTATGCATAAATAAATAAATCTTTAAATTTTTTTTATTTTGAAATAATTATAGACTCACAAAAAGTCACAAAAGTAAGATAATGAATCTTAAATATCTATTATCAAAGTCAGGAAACTGAGCTTGCATTGCTTTGTTTTTTGTTTTCTAATTTCAATTGTGGTAATGCATAAAATTATTTTATCACAATTTGCAATTATCTTTGTGAGATTATTTCTATCTATTGCACTTGTATGGTGGAAACTATATGGTATTGTGCTACTATATCCCTCCTCTCAACTCCCCTTCAGTTGGCAGGTCCAAATAGGCCCTGCTTGGAGTATTTATGCCAAGAAAATCAGCAAATGCTACAAATCAGGATTAAGTCTTTACCAGCAGCCTGTCCACTTACCCTCAGTAGAAAATCATGTGAGCCGTGGGCTTGCAAGGGGATGAGGCAAATAAGTGGGAACTGATCTCTCGCAGTTGCTTAGAAATTTATCTTCTTTTTTAAAAGTAAACTTTGCTTAAGGTTTATAGTTTTTCTTTATTAATTACATTTTTCCTTACATCATTATAGTCCCCACAGTTCTCTTGCCTCCATATCACTACAGTCCCCCCTGTCCATTCCTCCCCTGTTTTGCCCTCCCCCCCTCCCCCTTCTTTGCTGTATGCCTCAGCTCTGTGGTCATAAAGTAAACTTTTCAGTTGAAGCATAACATGCAAAGAGAAAAATACACAGATCATAAAGTGCCTCTCTGACTTTTCACAAAATAAAACCAGCACGAAGGTTTTTCCTTCAGCACGCAGAAGGAGAAACTGGGAACAGTGAATATTATCAGCAAATCCTCCCTTTTTCCTCTCTTGACATCCCCCTCCAAAATGTGAGGGGTTCCTTTTGCTTGTTTTTGAGCTTTTTGTAAATGAGATCACACAGAATGATCTTTTGTGATCGGTTTCTTTCCCTCAGTTTCATACACATATTCTATATGCGTATATATGTTGTATACATTCTCTATGTATAGATATTCTATATGCTTTATAGAATGCTCTTTCTATCTTCTGGAAAGAATCCTTTGGTACATAAAATTTTAGAAGAAAATATAGGACGATGGATTGTACAACATTACCTATGTAATAATTTAAAAATACTCACACTTTATTTAAATACACATATTTGAAGAAGAAATTGTCGATCATTACCACCCTAAGCAAAAAAACAGATTGGTATGCTGATAATTATACTCGCTCTATGTCCATTAAAATGAATATATAATTTTCAAAGCACATTCTCACGTATGCTGCCTAAATCCTCTCGTGCACCAGCTGTGTGGTGAGGGCTTAGGCTTTTCAGGGGACAAGGGAAACTTATGAAAATTCAATCACTCTCTTCATTCACTTATTCATTCAACAACTAATTATTTACCTACTCTGCCAAGGATTGTTCATGGTTCCTCTAAAATTCTAAATCCTAGTGCCTTAACCCTTTTTTGTGATAGAATTTAAATGTTTGCCCTTAATGAGGTAATGCTTTTAACAAAAAGGAAAATGCAATGCAACGTCACTGTTCTATTCACAGTGTAATTACAGGATTTAGAAAATACATTATTTCTGGATGAGCTACGATAATGTGAGGTGGTCAGGAGAGCTTAAAGCTGCCAACAGGTCCTTCCTCTGCTCATTTCCCCTCGGTGGCCTCTGGAGTTGACAGTCACCACAAGGGGTCCCCAGTTATTCAGAGACCTCAGCACCACCACCACCACCTGGCGAGGGTGGTGGGTGAGGGGTGCGTAGTCTTTGGTTTGCACAGGTTGCTTTCATCACAAGGTCAAGAGTTCCAGAGAGTGTTTCTGCCTTCACCTGCAGATCATTCAAAACGTGGTGTGTGTGGGGTGGGGGGTGGGGGCACAACATCCTCATGAATTGCATATTATTACCAGAGTAAAAAGTACCAAAAGACATCCATGTTGGGGGGGAAATCTAACAAAGATGCTGGATTAGAAAAAGCACACCCCCCCCCACCGCCCCCAGTTCCTAAGGCCATATCCCTTGAGCGAATTCAAAAGTGAAAGTTGTCAAACATTTGATAAGAACCAAGTCCCTGAGGTTGCCCTGTGGACTTTGAAGGGAGGACAGGCCGCACCTGCCTGCGGGGCCCTGAGAGTCAGCAGCTGGAGGCACCTGCGCCTCCTGGACATCCAGGCAACCAAGCCCCATGCTGTTTTAAAAATCACATTTAAAAAATCACAAATAAAAAATAAGTGGTGAGAAAATGTTTTCATTAAAATACATTTTACATTGTCAATAAATGAAGCCGTCTACTGGATGCTTCTTTTCCTTCTTCCTCCTGCTGCCAGCAGGGACCTGCACTGCCCACCCACTGCACAGGAAGGCAGGTGTCCTGGGGACGTCACAAGGGGCAGCTGGGCCAAAACAGGAGGAAGAGGTTTGTATGAGGGGCGGGGTGACTTTTCTTTTTAAAGGAATCTCATACCTTTTTTAAAAAAAAAAAAAGATTTATTTATTTACGCACACAAGAGCTGGGGTACAGGCCAGAGGTGGTGGAGGTGAGAGGATCCACCTGAGACAGAGTGGGGAGCAGAAGAGGCAGATTGCCTGAAACACTGCTGAGGGGAGTCTGCTGTGCCACGTGGGTTGCTCCCTGGCCGGGGATCGAACTCGTGCTGCAGAGGCTGCCAACAGCCTCATAGGTTGTGTCTCAACCCCTTGCGCCGCCAGGGAGGCCCCGGGGTGACACCTTAACAAAGAACTGCTTCCCGGCCCAGACCAGCGCTGCTCCGGGTGCACCTGCAGAAGCTGAGGCAAAAACGCGCGAGAACGTCGGGCAGCGGCTCAAGGGCGGCCTCGCGAGCTGGGGACCCCAGGCCCCGCCCCACTGCGTCGGGCCCGCCCACCCCGCGTTAGCCCCGCCCCGTGTTCGCACACGGCCCCGCCCCTGGGCCCGGTACTTCCTGATCTCGCGAGAGCGCAGCCCGGAAGTCTCCCGGCAGGAGCGGGTGGTTTGGGAGCCCACGTGGGCTGGGTTTCGGGGTGCGCTGCTGGTGCTGCCTGCCGGGCCCTGGTGCCATGGGGAAGCTGCGCCGGCGGTATAACGTCAGGGGGCGCCAGCAGGCGGCCCCCGGCCCCTCGAAGGGCCCCCCCGAGCCGCCCCCCGTGCGACTGGAACTAGAGGGTGAGGCGTCCCGGACGGGGGCCGGGTGTCGGGGGAGGGGTCAGCGGCCTCTCGGCCACGGCGGGGCACTGGGGCCGGGGGGCCGTCGGCACTGTGTCCCCCTTGACGAGAGTAGGGGGACCGGGGAGAACCCCCTCTCGGGCGGCCGGCCCGGAGGAGGGGCGACAATGACACGCTGCTTGTAATTGTCTGGGACACGACCCTGGATTTCTGTCCTTAGGCCCCAGCCCTCCTGTAATAGCGTGGACATGGGGGCAGTTCCACCCGTTTCCGTGTCTTGGTCAGCTGCAGGCTGCTTGACATTTCTGCTCAGTGCTGCCCTGGTAATAGGAGCGCCTACTGTGTGCCTGGCACCATTCTAGGAGACATAACAGGACATTTCAAAAACAATCTCTGTCCTGCTCAGCTTAGATGCGCCTGGGAGAAAACAAGCAAAGATAAATGTGTTAAACACATAAAACAAATGTTGTGTGACTATAAGGAAATACTAAGGAGTTGAAGCAGGTCAGCATGGGATGGGCTGTGGGTTCCATGGAAATATGGGACGGTCACACTGGGGAAGCATGTATTTGAGTTAAGACCTGAAGGTGCTCGGAATGACTGATTGGAGGTAAGAGAAAAAGTGGGGGCCCTTGTGAGTTACACAGGCTTTGGGGGGATTTACGGCAGAGTTGGGATGCCGCTGGATTTATGTTTTAATGGCATCACTGTGGCTGCTGTGTTGGGGAAAGCAATGGATGGCAAAAGTAGAACCGGGATCACTTAAGAGGCTGCTTAGTACACTAATTTGGACAAGAGCTGAAGTCTAGATCAGGGAGGTCTCAGTGGAGGTGAGAAGTGGTTGGATTCAGAACATGTTTTGGAGATGGAGCTGATAGGATTTGGTGGCTGGCTGCACAAGAACAAGGAGATGTCAAGAGTGACTCTCAAGCCAGCTCAACCCCTGAGGAAAGTAGGGGCAGTCAGTTTTGGGTGAGACCCAGAGCTTGGTTTGGGAGTTGGTTGGAGATCCAAGTAGAGGGGACAGGCATATCTCTTCCGAGGGGACAGGCATATCTCCTCCCACACACCCCAGGGAAACACTATTGGGTGTCTCCCGGTCTGAAATTACTCTGGTTACTTGTGATCTATACTTCCCTCCTCCCCCACCCAGACTATCATGAAGGTGGCCCTTGGGGGCTCCAGAGGCTCACACTGGGTGGCCACCCCAGAGGACTCAGCAATAAGGTGGCTGCTCTCCGTGATTTGCGGACCCTGGATCAGGCCAGAATGTCTTTCCAGATGAGGCCACGCTGAAAGGAGTCGATGCGAGCAATGCGCTGGTGCTGCCGGGGAAGAAGAAGAAGAAGACCAAAGCCCCCCCCTTGTCCAAGAAGGAGAAGAAGCCTCTGACCAAGAAAGAGCGGAAAGTGCTGCAGAAAATCTTAGAACAGAAGGAGAAAAAGAGCCAGGTACGCACTCAGTCCAGCTCCCCAGGGTGGGGAGAGCTGGACAGTCTGTTCCCCAACCCCTTGCCCTCTGGGTCTCTGTAGCAGGATTCTCCAGTGCAACTTTCTGGAACTTAGGGCATGTTCTGTGTCTACACAATCCAGAACAGTAGCCACTTCACCTGTGGCTGTCACGCACATGAAATGTAACCATGTGACTCAGGCCTTAGTTTTTAAGTATGATTTAGTTTTCATGAATTTAAATCCAAATACCCACGGGTAACCAGGGGCTCCAAAACCTTGAGCCCCTCCTGGGGCCGGCTGCCTGGGCCTTCATCAGTCTGCAGGGGGCCCAGGTTTAGTGGGGCTCAATGTGTGTTAATGAGGGAATCGCCCGTCAATGTGCTTGCTTTGTTTCCCCGAACATTTTATGTTTATTTTAATCTGGTAAATTTCAGTCTTTTTTCCTTAAATATTTTCAGGGAAAGGGTGTTGTAATGTAAAATTCAAACACAGAAGTGTGGCTAAGAGGGTAGTGAACTCCTGTCCCTGTCACCACTTCCAAGAATGACCACCCTGGTCGCCTGGGGTCCCCACCACTGGTCCCTTCTTCCCCTGGGACCGAGTCCAGGTCACCTGTCAAAGTATTAGTTTCCTGGGGCTGCCCCAACAAATGACCACGAGCTGGGTGACTTAAAACAACAAAATTGATTCTCTGGCACTTCTGGGTGTCTGAAATCAGATGAGGCCATGTTCCAGAAGTCTGAAATCAAGGTATGGCCAGACCACACTCCTTCAGGAGGCTCCAGTGGAGCCCCTCCTGCCTCTTCCCACTCCTGGTACCCCGGGCATCCCTCCCATGCCAACCTCCACACCACAGAGCCATTGCCTCTGTGTCTTTTACCTTACTGTCTCCAAGCAGGGTCACACGTTCTGGAACGTGGACAAACCTGTTGGGGACCGTCATTCAACCTACTGCACAAGCATTTCGTCCCTAAATCAGTAGACGAGGACTGTTTTTAAATAACCACAATACTGTTAGCACACCTAGACTTTTTGAAAATATCGAATATCCTGTAAATGGTCAAATTTCCAGTAGTTTCATGGGTAGACCCCACCCCATCTCTTTTTTCCCCTGTGTAATTTGTTGAAGAAATTGGATTGTCTCATAGTTTCTCAGAGTCTGGGCTTTTAAGAATTTTCTTTCTGTGGTGCGGTTCAATTCATTCCTTTGTCCTCTGAATTTCCTGTGAATTAGAACTTGGATCTGGGGCAGTGATTTTCAACTGGGGTGGGTGTACCCCCACCCCCACCCAAGGGGAGTATTTGGCCATGCCTGGGGACATCTGTAGTCGTGACGAATTGGGGGCCCTACAAGCAGCTCATGGGCTGAAGCAGCCAACAATGCCCCACAGCAGATTGTCCAGCTTTAATTGTTGGGGTTCAGAGCCTGAGAAAGCCAGACCCAGAGGCCTCATGGGCTCCCCACTTGACCCCTTGGCAAGGTCATGATGGGGCTGTGGCGTTCACAGGAGGCAGCCTGGCCTGCGGCCCTCACCCAGGGAGAACCACCTCCGATGCGTGTGCCCTTTGTATACATTCTGTGCGGTGCTCTGCCCCACTGTTCTCTGCCTGGCTCTCTTCTCTTGCCTGTTGTGAACCCATTGCTCACCCCCATATGCTGCTCCTCAAGCTGTTTAGGGACCACGTCCCATCAGGCATGGAGCTGCCCCCAGCCCAGGTAACAGTGGCTGGGAGGGTCATAGTACACCCCTGGGCCCTGCTGTGTGCCTTCAGTGGTCTGTGTGGACGGGCATCTGGGCAGTCAGCAGTCTGCAGCGCTGCTTACCCAACCTTGACTCCGTGGGGTCGGAAGCCACCCCACGCCCTCCGTGTCTTGGCAGAAGAACACTGCTGCAGTGCAGCTTCACTGTAGAAAGGTGGCGGTGTTAGCAGTGCTGAGACCTGATGCAGTGTCACTGCCCTTCCGGGGAAGGCGTCTTGATGCCGAGTGTGACACTTGTCTTCCTCCCCAGCGAGCAGAGATGCTACAGAAATTGAGCGAAGTCCAGGTTTCGGACGATGAGATGAAGCTCTTCTATACCACGTCCAGACTGGGCACCGGGCACCGCATGTACCACTCCAGAGCGTGAGTCCACCGACCTCCTGCCCAGACATCATTGCCCCGGTGGCCAGGATTGGCGGGAGCAGCTGAGTTTGGGTCAGGGAAGGCATTGCCCTTGGGGCCGTGGGAGCAAACCAGTGCCAGTGGCAGCTTCCAACAGCAGAAATGTAACCTCATGGCTCTCGAGTCAGGGCGTCTGCTGGGCTGACCCTTCCTCGTCCTGGTGCTCGCCAGCCATCCCAGGTGTCCCTGGCTTGCAGACCTTCATCCGAGTGTCCCTGCCTTCCGGGGCCCTCTCCTTTCTGTCGAGGGCTCTGCTTGCTCTTCCCAGGAGACCAGTCACTGGTCCTCACCTGCAAAGACCTACTTCATTGAAGGGCACGTTCCGAGTCCCCAGCAGACATGACTTTGGGGGAGATGCTATTCAGTAATAGCCAACTTATAAGAATTAGGAAAAATCACGTTAAAATCCAGGTTCCCTCCTGGTCTTGACTGGTTAAACTCTGGCCCTTAGGTGGAGCCTCTATGCCCCTGCCCCCACGGCCTCCACCCTGCTCTTCAACTCAGCCTGGTCTCCTCGTACAGTGATCCCAGGCTGGTGCCTATAAGCATTTACTATGCATTTAATGACTCCTTACAGGTTCTCTAATCCCTAGGGATGCAACAGTTTGCAAAAATTAAATCCCTTCCCTTAAGAAACCTAGTTCTGGGGCTTCCCTGGTGGCTCAGGGCTTACAGTCTCAGCGCTATCAAGCTATCACCAGCCGCTGCGGCCTGAGCTCGATCCCCGGCCAGGGAGCTGACCCACACGGTGCAGCCGACCTCTCCTGTCTCGCCCTCTGCTCCCCACTTTGTCTCTGGTGACTCCTCTTACCGCTCCCCTGCACCTCTGGCCTACACCCCAGTTCTTCTATGCACAAATAAATAAAAAATCTTTAACATAAGGAAGAAACTTTAAGGGGCCTTGCTTGATAGTCAAACAAAAAACTTAGATATTTAGGGCTGGCGAGCTGTAAGTGGAAAATAAAGCAGGGTAAGAGAATGGAGAGCGTCCAGAAAGGGGTTTCAGGCTGCGCAGTCAGGGAAGGTCTCCCTGAAGGGTGACATTCAAGTCATGTGGGAAGCAGGGACAGCGTGTGCAAAGGCCCTGGGGTAGGAGTGGGCGTGGCCTCTGAGTCCCAGCCTCTGACCATTGTTGAGCAGGGTGGGGTCTGCTGGCCCAGCCGGACTCCATTCCTGATGCCTTGCTCTCCCAGCAGGAAGTCCCATGAAGTCATAGCCCAGGATCCAGAGAGGATCAGCAGCCTCAGTGGGGCCCACCGGAAGCGCTGTCGTCAGGATTCAGAGGAGGAAGAGGAGTCTGATTGCTCGGCAGAGTCTGAACTTGAGGATGAGGCCCCAGGCGTCGAGCCAGAGGAGGCTGGTGCAGGCACAGTAGTGGCCGGTGTGCCTCCAGAGGCCACCGGCGAGAGCCCAGTGCCCAGCACTCAGCCAGCTCCATCTGGGACCCCTGCTATTCCTCCAGCCGCTCCGGAAGCATCTTCCACCCTGGCCAGGCCCCCTGCAAAGCCCGCCATCTTCGTCCCTGTGAACCGCTCCCCTGAGATGCAGGTTTGCCACTGGGGTGCTTGTGATGAGGGTGAGCGTTGAAACAGGGATGTGAGTGGCTCCTCTTTAAATGAAAAAATAGAAACTGTCAGCTCATCGTCCCAGATAAGGGTAAAGATCATTTCATAAGGTTGTCGCTGGAGCTGTGGGGACACGCAGGGCAAGCTCGTCTCCTGACTGCCCCAGTGTGCACTGGCCCTTGCCCTGAGGTCACTTCCCCGTGACGCCATAGCCCAGGCCCCAGGCCAGTGCAGGGATGGGGTTCCGCTCCACCAGGCCTGGCACCCACCGCTCCGAGATTCTCCCACGGAGGCCTGCCTGGAGGAGGTGTCGCTGCACTGTGTCCCTGGCTTTGTGCCTTTTTTCCTTCTGCAGTTTTGCTTTTTTGTCAGTCACCTTGATGGGCCTGAGCTTTGTCCGTGCTGCCGCCTGGAGCCGAGGTCCATTTTTTGTTTTTTTTTCACTGCCTCAGGGAAGAAACTGTTGTTGCGGGCATCGGGTTGTCTTAGTGTCTTAGTGCATCCTTGCCCCTCCCCTGGCTCGCATTCGGGGGTTCCTCCGGGCAGCATTTGCCTACTCCTACTCCTGGTCGTGGCCAGCTGCGGGCCGTGAGGCGAAGGGCGTGTTTTTCATCCTAACAATGAAAAAGATAGTGTGAAAACAACTTTAAGGACGAGCATGTCGCGTGTGCACAGCGAGAGCAACATTTTGTGAGGCTCCTCCTGCAGTGTGTACAGACTCACGTGCGCAAAGCGTGCTGCTTTCCCGGGCAGGATGGGCGCTCTGGGAGCTGCTGCTGAGGGGCAGGGCCTCGCCAGGGTTCATGGGTGTGGACACCCCGCGCCCATGGGGAGTTCCCACGTCTCCAGGCCCCTCTGCACCCCCAGCCGTCCCCGAGGACACTGCTGTCACCTGTAAACCAGGCCCCCCCTGCCTAGTCTTGCTTGGTGTCAGTAGGCTCCCCTTACCCGCTTTGCCCCTGTAGAGGGGCGCCTCCCTCCCCGTTCTCTGAGCACCAGTTCCTTCTCTTGCCAGGAAGAACGACTGAAGCTCCCAATTCTCTCTGAAGAGCAAGTGATCATGGAGGCGGTGGCTGAGCACCCCGTTGTCATCGTGTGTGGGGAGACCGGCAGTGGGAAGACCACGCAGGTGCCCCAGTTTCTCTATGAAGCAGGCTACAGCAGGTGAGGGCTGGCGTGGGGCGCTCTGCGGGTCCCTCGGATGGAGGTGTGGGCCCAGGTCTTTTCGAACGCGGTCCTGGTGCAGCCCTCCCGTGTCGCGTGGCTTTGGGTGAGCTGTGTGGCATCTCTGGGCTGTGAGGTGGGGAAGTTGAGGTATGGCGCAGTCAGGGGTGACAGTAGTGACTGTGCAGAGTGCCCCCTTCAGTTCCCATGTGCGGAACTAGGGGTTTACTGGGGTGCCGGTGTCCCCCTGTTGGTGTGTTTTTTTTTTTAAATATTTACGCATACAAGAGCTGGGGTACAGGCCAGACATGTTGGGGGGAGGTGAGAGGATTCGCCAGATACAAAGCGGGGAGCAGAACAGGGAGACAGAATGAAATCCACTGCTGAGGGGAGCAGCGGGGAGACAGGAGAGGTCTGCTTCGCCATGTGGGTTGCTCCCTGGCCGGCCGGGAGTCGAACTCATGCTGGGAGGCTGCGGATTGCTTCATAGTGCGGTGCTTAACTCCTTGCACCACCAGGGAGGTCCCCCCATTGGCGTTTTTGATCCCTGTGTCCCCCAGGACAGCCCTGGTTTCCCCTCTTGCTGTTCAGTGACCAGGGGCGCCTGGCCTGCCGCCTTACCCGGGCAATGGCTACCTCTGTGCGGGGCGCCCCGACCTGGAGCCCCAGCTGACGCATTGCGTTCTCTCTCCCCCAGTGGGGACAGCATCATTGGCATCACGGAGCCCCGCCGAGTCGCCGCCGTAGCCATGTCCCAGCGAGTGGCCAAGGAGATGAACTTGTCTCAGCGGTGAGGATTCTGCCTCATGGGCGGGGCTCGGGCGGGGCTGCTGGGCTGTCCAGGGGGAGTGGAACAGCGCGGTGTCCGCACCCCCTCAGGGTCACATCACAGGGGGCCGAAGGGCAGACAGCCCTTCCCGGTTGGGGGCCGGGCAGAGCAGCAGGTGGTCAGTGATCAGTCCATAGCGTCACCCGGGTCCTCTGAGCCTTGGGGTTCCCAGAGGAAAAGGCTCTCCTGGCAACAAGGCTGCAGCGATCGTGGATGGCCGGGAACAAAGCGGGCGGCCGTGGCCGGACCATTGCGCTCGGGTCTGGCGGGGCCAGGAGCACGTGCACTGTGGTCTGAGCCCAGAGTGAGAGGCTGCTCTGTTCGTCTGTCCCTGCTGCCATCAGGGATTTGTGAGCAGCGCCTGCGTGGGCCAGGCCGTCCATGCTTTGGGATACGTGGTGGTGAGCGCAACAGGAGGCACCTGCGCGTGGCCCCCGTGGCTGACGTGTAGTCTGGGAGGCTCGATCTGTGTGCACGTTGAGGGGACAAGGTGCCCCTGCTCCCCTTTCTGGCTGCAGCCACCACTGCATGTTTCCTGTGTGTCCTGGAGGCTTCTCTGCACAACCACGTGTCCATGCTCTTCCTTGGCTGAGTCTTCAAGTGGCGGCGTGACGTCCCTCCTCTGTCTGTCCCGCCCCGGTTACTAGTGGATGTTGGAAATAAGAGCGTGAGAGAGGCCGTGCTTTGCTTCTGCGCGTTTCTTCACTTATCGTGACAGTTTCAAGCACACACAGGAGTGGCAAGGCTCACACGGTGCGCCCCACGTACCCATGCTGGCGTCTTGGTCATGGTCGAGGCCTGGCCAGCCTCCCTCCTCTGCAGCACACCCATCCCCTCATTCAGAGGCAGGTGCCAGAGGCCGTGTCACCGCACCTGCAGTTCGCACTGCAGCTCTGAAACAGCACTTTCGTTAAGATAAAGTTTCCTTGGCGCACGATCGCAGTAGCCTCCTCGTGTCCGTGACTCCAGGCTGGCTCGGCTGTCCCTGGCTGTCTCCTAATCAGCCCTGGCACTTGGCTTGCTGCCCCTGGCCGTCGTCCTCGTGGGCCTGCCTGCCCTGCTTAGCAGTTGGAGGCTGGGGTTCTGGAGCAGGAGAGCAGGTGGGGCAGGCTTCTGGCCCTCAGAGGAGTCGGGGTGCCCTGCTCTCGGGCCACCTGCCTGGTGGGGCCAGGCTTCCCTTGCTGCCCCTCCCCGGGAACAACCCTGGATGCAGCCCTGCAGCTGCCTCTGGAGGCCTGGCCCGCCCTGAGCCCAGCCTGTCCCTGCAGGGTCGTCTCCTACCAGATCCGCTACGAAGGAAATGTGACGGAAGAGACCAGAATCAAGTTCATGACTGATGGTGTGTTGCTCAAGGAAATCCAGAAGGTTGGTTGCTCATCTTATCTCTGGGCAAGATCTGGGCTTGTGGGACCAGGAGCGAGGCCGACGCCCTGGATGCGAGCAAATGTCCGTAGGTGCCAGTGGTCGGCCAGGGTATCATGGTGCTGCTGTGTGACCTTGGCCGGTTGCTTAACCTCTCTGAACCCTTCTGCAGTCTGGTGCAGGTTGCACATAACTGTTTTGAAACAAGTTGTATGTAGCTTGAGGCCGGCGAGCACAATGCCTGGGGGTGCTCCTTCGCCGGGAGCTTGTTTTCATCACGACTTGTGTGTGAGCCCCGCGCTTCCTCCTCACTGGCCACCTGCTATGGTTTTGGCCCCTTTCTGTGCAACCTGTGCTGGCCGACCCCCCTGGATCCCCACCCATTGCAAGTTTCCTTCTCCTGCCCGCCTCTCCTTCCTCAGAGGAAGAGTGAGAGCTCCGCTCTAGGGAGTAGTTGCTGCCTCTCGCTCTGGCACCTTCGCCCGGGCCCCATGCTGTGTGCTTTGCGGTTGTCAGTGAAACTGCACCCTGACCCGTGAGGTGGGCGCTGTTGGCCCTGTGTTATACATGACCCTGAGCCGGGGGGAGGTCAGACACCTGGTGCCCCAGGACCTATTCCAGCTACCCAAGGGGTTGCCGGGGTGAGAATTTGAGGGGACAGAGTGACCCTGGGTGGCTCAAGAGGGGCTGGCGGGCCTCACCCCCCAACCACCCCAGGACTTCCTGCTGCTGAAGTACTCGGTGGTGATCATCGACGAGGCCCACGAGCGCAGCGTGTACACCGACATCCTCATCGGACTCCTGTCCCGCATCGTGTGTCTGCGGGCGAAGGTGGGCGTGCGTGGGGGTCGGGCGCCCCCACATCCAATGGCCCGGCTGTTGGGAGCATGGTCTCCCGGGCCCCAGGCCCAGGTGGGTCCACCCCACAGCGCGCCTGGGCCCTGTGCCTGCCGTTAGCACTGGGTGGGCCCAGGCCCCGCCTGCCTGCCTCCGTCCTTGTGCAGAGCCTGACCCGGGGGTTTTCCGGGCTCCCTTTACAAGCAGAACCTGCCGCCCACTCGCCCTTTCCAGAGAGCCCCAGCCAGAAAGGAGGCTGAGGGGCGGGGCTCGAGGGGAACCCAGGTCACCACCTCCCACCCCACAGAGACAGCTGCCGCTGAAGCTGCTCATCATGTCGGCCACGCTGCGGGTGGAGGACTTCACCCAGAACCAGCGGCTCTTCGCCCAGCCGCCCCCCGTCATCAAGGTAACGCCCCGCCCGAGGGCCAGGATGGGGCGGCCAGGACAGGGCGAGGGATCACGGAGGGAGGGAAGGATCATGGAGGGCTCCCTGCCGGAAAGTCGGGAGAGGGGAGGGGCGCGCCTGGGCTCACGCCCCCCAACCTGTGCCTCCCCCACAGGTCGAGTCCCGGCAGTTCCCGGTGACGGTGCATTTTAACAAGCGGACGCCCCTGGAAGACTACAGCAGCGAGTGCTTCCGGAAGGTCTGCAAGATCCACCGCCTGCTGCCGGCAGGTCAGGCCCCGGCCGGGACACCGGGCTTCCCCGTCGAGCCTGGGCACGTGCGGGTGGCGTCCCTTGGCCTGTCTCCTGGGGGCCCCAGCCTCGGCTCTGCCGGGTTCCCGGGTGTGCGGGTGCCTGACCTGCTCCACTCTGGCCGCCTCCAGGGTTTCGTCCCTGGGCCCCTCCCGTCCTGCTTCCTCTCCCTGCTTTCCCGTCGCTGTTCAGACGCCTCCTTCGGCGACACTGGGCTCCCCGTTGTCCCCCTCAGCCCTGTCAGCCATCTGTCTGCTTCCTGGCGGGGGCTTCTCTGCTGTGAGCGAGCCGTGAAGGGTCGGACAGCTCACGGCCCTGTGTCTGGCTCCCTCAGCACCGTGTCCCTGGGGTCACCACGTGGGTGCAGGTGGCCGGCGTCATGCCTGTTCTGGTGGCCTGTCCTGTGGCCTGAACAGGCCCATCCTGCTCCCCCGACGCCCGTGGGTGGACCCGTGGTGACTAGGGCCGCTGTGAACACAGCCTGCAGGTTCTCTAGGGGTCCCCTGCCTGTTGTTCATTCCCAGGAATGGACCTGCTGGTCAGGGGGTAACTGTCTAGCTCCCGGGGGTGGTGTCCCAGGCCTGGGGTGGCCGCTGTCACCCTCTGTCTTGCTGTCCTGTCCGGCTGTCCTGCCATCTGGCTCGTGGCGGGGCTTGGCGGTGGATGGTGCAAATGCCGCTCGCTGAGCACCTGGAGGGGTAACACAGCCCTTCCTCTTGGCAGGCGGCATCCTGGTGTTCCTGACAGGGCAGGCGGAGGTGCACGCACTGTGCCGCAGGCTGCGGAGAGCCTTCCCACACGCCAGGGCCCGGCTGCCAGGTACCACGCAGGCCTCCCCCTGGAGTCCTCCCCAGAGGTGGCCGGGGGTGGGGTTCAACCCTGGGCCTTGGCAACTTCCCCGGTCTGCTCCTGGGCCTGCCCTCCTGTCCCCGGTGAAGGGTCACCCATGATGAAGGACAGCCCATGACGCCATCCCCCTGACCTGTGCATCTCCTCCCAGAGAAGGACGAGCAGAAGGACTCAGCCGAGGGGATGCGCAAGTTTAAGAAGTCGAGGACGCGGGCCAAGAAGGCGCAGGCGGCGGTAGGTGGGCCGTGGGAGAGTCAGCCCCGGGGCGCCTCGTGCGTTTAGCTTCAATGAGATCAAGTTAAGGTTCAGTCCCCCGGTGACGTCAGACATTTCTCAGGTGCCCCGTGGCCACCTGGGGCTGCTGGTGGCAGCAGGGACGTTCCTGCCATGGGGGTTCCGTTGTGCGGCTGCTTCAGGGCCTTGGGGTGGGTTGGAATTTGAAACAGTCAAGGTTCCTGAAGCCGCGGGCTGGGGGAAGCTTCTGGAAGCACCTGCAGGGATTTCCTGGGAGGAGACAGATGGGGGCACAGATCCTCTTGGTTCTTGCTGAAGGACTGGCGCGTGGGCAGGGCGGGGCAGGCCGGTCTCCGGGCCTGCTTGCCCACAGCGTCTGCATGAGGCGTGCGGTATGGACCCTTTTCCCGCGTGATGATGGCCGGGCCGTGGTCAGCGTTCTTTAGTGTGGGAGGTCCCCCGGGGCAGCTCTGGGACTGTCACCGCGTTAACCCTGGTAGTTAGATGAGGGGATGGGACTGTGTGTCTGGAGCTGGTGCTGGGGTGTGGACACAGAGGGCCTGTGCCTCTGTCCCCGATACCCCTGTCCTGGATGCTGGTCTCCACCTGCAGCCCTGCCCCTCACGTCTTGTTTCCCTAGACATTGCCCCATATCAGTTTGGACAGTTACTCGGTGCTGCCAGTGGGCGAAGAGGACAGGGAGGCGGAAATGGATGAGGAGGAGGCCCTGGGCTCCGACCTGGATCTGGACCTGGGGGACGACGGGGCAGACAGAGGTGGGACCCGGCAGGGCCTCCGCACGCATGTGCCTGCGGATCCTGAGTCAGCACTGCGCTGCGTCCCCGCTGTGCGCCAGGCCCTGGTGCAGGCCTAGACTGTTGCCCACCCTCGCGGGCTCCTGGTCAGGGAGTGTGACCCCACCGTCCTGCTCCTGCGGGGTGGGGGCCAGAGAGCTGGGTGTCTGGCCGTGTGCCTCCCGCCTTTTCCCGAGCCCCTGCGCAGTGTGGACCTGGCTTTCAGTATTTGTGGTGTTGTCTGCAATGGGGGTGACCACCCACCCCACAGACTCACCACCAGCAGGAGGGTTCCCCTGAGCTTGCTCACCCAAGCTTGCCCCCGAATAGTGATGGGCCCTTGGCCGGACTTCCCGGGAGGAGAAGCCTGGAGGGCATCCGACCAGGGTCAGGACAGTAGGTGGGGAGCCTTGGCTCTGCTGCCGGTTGTGCTGGTCCTGTGGCTGGAACCCCTGGCAGACGGCCAGGTGGCACAGAGTCCTCTGATAGGAGTGGGGGCTGCCAGTGCTGATCCCTGCCCCTGAGCGTTTGGGGTGCCAGCAGCCTCTGCTTCCTTGCAGGTGAGCAGCTGGATGCCTCGCTCCCCCTGCACGTGCTCCCCCTCTACTCCTTGCTGGCGCCTGAGAAGCAGGCACAGGTGACGGCTAGTGGGGTGGGTCCTGGGGGTGCGGGGTGGGCAGGCCGTGGCCGTCTTACCCAGGAGCTGTTTGATCTCCAACCCCAGAGTTTTAGGAGAGTACTGGGGCCTCCCGCTTGGAAAATGGACTTGCTGCCCTGCTTGGGACACGGCGACGGGGGCCAGGAGTGGGCAGCTGGCCTTGCCCACCCGTCTGCTTCCCAGTGGGGACCTTGCCTGACCTCGCTCCTGCACCTCTGCCCCTGAATTCTCACCTGACGCTCGTGCTTCCTTGCTGCCAGGTCTTCAAGCCTCCCCCAGAGGGGACTCGGCTGTGCGTGGTGGCCACCAACGTGGCCGAGACGTCCCTCACCATCCCGGGCATCAAGTACGTGGTGGACTGCGGGAAGGTCAAGAAGCGCTTCTACGACCGTGTCACCGGCGTGTCGTCCTTCCGCATCACCTGGGTCTCCCAGGCCTCGGCTGATCAGCGTGCAGGCCGTGCCGGCCGCACAGAGCCTGGCCACTGCTACAGGTGGGCCCCAGCTTCCTCCTCAGGGGCCTTGGGCCTGTGTCCACTGTGTCCTCTGCACTCGGCTTCCAGACCTCACCTGCGGCCAGGCCCCGCTCTTGGCTCGCTGGTTTTCCGTCAGCAACCATGGGAAGATGGCATCCCCGTGCCGGGAAGTTCCCCACTCTCAGGAGCAGTTGCGCGGGTGTGTTGTGATCCCGGGGTCCTGCGGCTCCGCTCGCACTCGACCCCCTGGCAGTTCGCATCCAGTCTGGCCTCTTGCTCGGGGTTGTGTTTGGGGTGCATTGTGGTGTGGCCTGGCTCAGCACCTCACTCCCCTTCAGGCCGAGCCCTGTGCCGTCACCGTGTGAGGGGACCACAGTCCTCCCGCGGGCAGGCACTCGGTGGCGTCCCTGTGCCCCTCGTGAGCAGTGCTGCCATGGACGCCCCCGGCAAGCGCGTCCTCAAGTGTCGGAACCTCTGGGTCATCATGGGCCCCTGCGTGTCACCCGCGGGGAGACCGAGTCTTCTCCGCAGCGACCGCAGCGTGTCGCGTGGCCAGGGTCGCGTTTCTCCAGCCGCTTCATGCCTGTTACTTTTCTTTTTTGAAGTCGTGGCCTCTTTGCGGGGGCAGGTGGTGCGTCCACTGGGCGAGGGCAGGGAGCACCGTTGCTGGGTCCTGGCCTTCCGTGGGAGCTGTGGGGAATGTCTGTTCCCGCCTTCTCCTTCCCTTTAGTCGGGTTGTCTCGATGTAAGAAATTTCTTTTTTTTAAGATTGATTTATCTATGCAAGAGCCGGGGTGCAGGCCAGATGTGTGGGTGGGTGAGGATCCACCAGAGGCAGAGTGGGGAGCAGAACAGGCGGATCTACTGAAATCCACTGCGGAGGGGAGCAGCGGGGGGACAGGAGAGGTCTGCTGCTCCATGAGGGTCAGCTCCCTGGCCGGGGTTTGAACTCGTGCTGCAGTGGCTGCTGATAGCTTCATAGTGCTGAGGACACAAGATACAAAAATTCTTTATACATTTGGGAAAATAGATCTTTGTCAGATGTGCCACGGGCAAATGTTTTTTCTCAGTCTGTGCCCTGTTGTTTTTTATGGTTTTGTAACTCATTTTCCTAATGTTGTTCAAAATTGCCAAAAAAGGAAAATTGAGAAAACTGGAAAGGAAGAGCTAGTTAACATTTGCCCTGGCTGTGTGCCAGGCCTTGCTCCAGGTGGTGCCTGCCCTTCACTTTGGTCAGTCCTCGCCCCTGCGAGCAGCTGTGGCATCACCCCCGCACGGGGGAGGCGGCCGTGCCCGCTGTGCCGAGCAGGACTCCCTGGTGTCTGTGCTCTGCCACCAGCGCTGAGCACACTGCTCTCTGCCAGGCTCTACTCCTCGGCGGTTTTCGGAGACTTCGAGCAGTTTCCTCCTCCTGAGATCACCCGGAGGCCCGTGGAAGACTTGATCCTGCAGATGAAAGCTCTCAACATCGAAAAGGTCTGTGCGGCCCCGGTCCTGCCCCACCCCGCTGGGCTCCTGTGTCCTGTCTGCCTGCTGGGCTCCTGGGGCTGCGTCCAGGACCCCTGCCCAGCAGCCTGGCTCCGAAAGGACATTACAGTGGCCAAAGCCCCTCAGTCACCCAGGGTCCCGCTTGCCAGCGCTGCACCCCTGGAGCACCCAGGATGGCTGCCTGGGCCAGAAGCCAGGCTCGCTGAGGCCCTCCCACCAGGCCTCGGGATGGGGGTGCTGGCAGTGCCCTCAAGCCCACGTCTCCCTCTGAGGTGGCCCACCTGTCGCCTGCTCCAGGAGGGTTGGTCCCAGGCACATGGAGACTCCACACCCGGCGACAACCACCCCACGAGCAGCCACTCCCGCCGCGCCTTCTGGGCCCCGGCAGCCACCAGTCCACTTGGCATGCATTTGTCTTTCCGGGCACTTCACGCTTACGGAGTTGCGCTGCGCCCTGCAGGTCCAGCTGCTCTCAGCATCGTGTGCCCAGGCTCAGTGTGGGAGCAGGGACCGGGGCGCCACTCCTTCATGCCGGGTCCCGGTCCCTCGTGGGGCACCAGCTGCGTGCGTGATCCGTGGTTCAGCCTGCGTGCTTGAGCTCTTGCTGTCCGCTGTCTCTTCTCCGGGGCCGTCGTCCCTGTCCCCCCTTGTCCGGCCACGTTTGCTCCATTTACTCTGGCAGAGCCCCGTCCTCCTGCCAGGCTGGCCTGTGGTCACGGCCTCCTCCGTGTGGGACTCACGCCCTCCCGTCTTCCAGGTCATCAACTTCCCCTTCCCGACCCCTCCCTCTGTGGAGGCCCTCATTGCTGCCGAGGAGCTGCTGGTGGCGCTGGGTGCCCTGCAGATGCCCCCACGACCAGACCGGTGGGTCGGGCAGGGCGGAGGTGGGGGTGGAGAGCCAGTCCCTTCCCCGGGCACCGCAGTCCTGGGCTAACGCCACCTCCTGGACCCCCCGTGCTCCAGGGTGAAGCAGCTGCAGAAGTCCCGGCTGAGCAGCCCCATCACCGCACTGGGCAGGACCATGGCCACCTTCCCTGTGGCGCCACGCTACGCCAAGATGCTGGCACTGAGCCGGCAGCACGGCTGCCTGCCCTACGCCATCACCATCGTGGCCGCCATGACTGTCCGGGAGCTGTTCGAGGAGCTGGACAGGTGGAGTCGGGCTGGACACTCATGGGCCTGGCCTGGGGGAGCCCCTGCTCACTGGATGGCCTGGGGGAGCCACCTGAGTCCTGCAGAGTCTGTGTGCTGGACCCCCCCCCCCCACTGTCTTTCCTGCCCCCAGACCCCTTGTCAGTGGCCCTCACCCTTGGAGCTCCCTTGGCTCCGCCGGGCCTGCTGGTACATGATTGTTCTGCCTCCGGCGCGTCGTCGCTTTCTTCCCCCGCGTCCTCCTGTGCGAGGACTGCGCCACGTTGTGTCGTCCTGACTAATGTCGCTCTGCGTGAGCCGCACCACAGAGCCCTGTCTTTGGGGACTCCGGCCGCCCTGACGGCACCCGCTCTGGGGAGCCCGCCTGCCTACGTCGCCCTCCACCCGTCCTGAGCGCGCAGCTTAGCGGGGGCATCCCCCTCCCCTCCTAGGGGCGTGCTAGGGCGTTACTGCGGCGCGGGGGTCAGCTCACACGGACTCCAGGTGCTGCCCAGCCTGACGTCGTGCGCCAGCTCACCGTCCCTGCCTGGGCGCCTGGGCCACGGTTGAGCCACGTCTCCATGCTGCCCTGGGGCTCGGACTGGCCTGAGGTGGCGCGAGTGCGCTCTGGCACAGGAGGGTTGCTCTGCGTGGCCGGTGGGGTCGGAGCTGCCAGGTCGGGCAGTGCGGGCGCTCAGTGGGGACACCGTGATGGCACATGTCGCTCCTCAGCCCACTGCTTTCTCCCTGACTGCGTCTCAGCTTTGGGGATTAGAAAGCGCGTCCCCACCCCTGGGGCCTCGCGGCAGCCGGGCAGGGCAGTAACCGGGGTCCGTCCATTGCAGGCCGGCCGCCAGCGACCAGGAGCTCGCCCAGCTGAAGGGCCGGCGCGCCCGGGTGGCCCAGATGAAGAGGGTCTGGGCAGGGCCGGGCGCGTCCCTGAAGCTCGGGGACATCATGGTGCTGCTAGGTGCGTGCCGGGCGGGCCCCCCGGGAGGGCGCGTGGGGGCAGAGGTGAGTGTTCCTCTCCGCCCCCAGGTGCCGTGGGGGCCTGCGAGTACGCCGGCTGCTCGCCCCAGTTCTGCGAGGCCAACGGGCTGCGGTACAAGGCCATGCTGGAGATCCGGAGACTGCGCGGCCAGCTCACCACCGCGGGTAAGCCCCCCAGCCCCCACCCCTTCCCTCCCCCCACACACACCCCCACCCTACTGCCCTGGCCCCCGGGTGCCTGCAGAGACCCTGACTCGCTGCCCCCTTCTGGTTCAACTGGTCTTGAGCTGCGTCACGTCACGGTCCTCCCGGTCCCTCCAGCCTCCGTCTGCAGCTCCCGTGGGCCTGTCGGGGCAGAGACGGCAGGTGTGGTCACGGCGCTCCTGCCAGCCTGCCTGGGCCTTGCTGTCGCCAGGCCTGTCCCTTGTCACCCACGGCCCCTGCCTCATCCTGGGGCTCCCGTGCTTCCGGGTTGGGGGGGCGGCGTGGCGTGGTCCCTGCTTCCCTCCGGTGCTCTGAGCTGGCTTCTTTGTCCCTGACTGAGGCCGCGTGAGAGCGGGATGAGCCGGGGATCCCAGTAGGTGCCGGGCGACGGCCCCTCGGTGTCCTGTCCCCAGCACCTGCCCTCCCCATTTCTCCTCCTCTCTCTTTAATCTCTCCTGGATGTTTTGTGGGAAGGCAGAGGAGCTTTACCTGCAAGCATTGGAACAGAAGGTTCCGTCTTTCCCGCCTTCCTTCTGGCCCTGCGCCTCCCCTCTGGCTTTCTGCCGCCCGCCCCCCAAGGCAGCTGTGTCCAGCGTCCCTCCAAGCGGTCCCAGAGCTCAGCCTCCCCTCTATGGAGATGGCACCCCGCCCCGGATTTCACACAGGGCCTGACATGCCTGGCTTTCCTGCCAGCAGCGGTCCCAGGAATATGGGGAGAGAAATATCCCTCTGTTCTTACCTCCTGAGAGGCCCTGACACTTCCTGGGTCCCTCTGGGGTGGCTGCTCCAGGCAGAGGGTGCTGGGATCTGCGCCAGGCCCAGTGCCCCGCGGCTTGCTGCTGTCCCCGACACACGGCGTTAGTGTGTCCCTGTCCTGTGCTGCTGTCCCGGCCCTGGGCCCGGCCTCCAGACCAGCCACAGCACATTGGTCGGCCCCACGCTGGACCACTGCACCCTGGGAGCGGCGGCCATGCACCCTGGCCTGCTCCCCCAGTGAGAGGAGCCCAGCAGCAGCAGGGGTCCCTCCTGCATTGCCCGCCGCAGCACGCAGCTCCCCTTCAGGCCTCTGCTGGCCGGGAAGGCAGTTAGTTGGTGCTTTACCATCAGCTTTCTGCGCGGGAGCAGGGACAGGGTGGGCTTTCCAGAAGTCCTGGCCAGCAGCCCCGTCCTTGCACCACAGGCCCGACCTGAGTCCCTTGTCCACCCTGGGAGCGTGTGGGTGGCCACCTCTTGGCAGCATGCCCTGTCGCCCATGGAGGAGGGGGGTCTATTGGGGAGAGGCCCCGGCAGCAGAAGCCTGAGGCCGCGGCTCACCGAGCGTGGCGAGGGCCTTCTGGAAGGTGGGGACGGAGCCAGCCCCCCAGCCGGCACAGCCGCCACCGTCCTCACGCTTGGCTGTCCCCGCAGTCAACGCCGTGTGCCCAGAGGCTGGGCTCTTCGTGGACCCCAAGATGCAGCCGCCTTCTGAGAGCCAGGTGACCTACCTGCGGCAGATTGTGACAGCCGGCCTGGGCGACCATCTGGCCCGCAGGGTCCAGAGCGAGGAGCTGCTGGACGAAAAGTGGAGGAACGCCTACAAGGTTGGACACTGGCGGGGTGGGGGCCTGGCTGGCTTTGGGCCCTGGGCTCCTCTCCCCAACCTCCCCCTGTTGTCATCTGTCCCACTGGCCTGGGCGCGGGGCACCTCAGGACACCAGCCTGGGGACAGGCAGCAGGGTTCCTGGGGAGCTGTTGGGCCTGCCTGCCCGGGACCGGGGCGGGGTGTACAGAGCACAACTTCTGGGGGCACCAGCTCTGCCCCAGCCGTGCTCGGATGTGAGTCGCACAGTCCCGGCCCTTCTCGGCGCGTCCCCAGGACAGGGCTGCTCATCACAGCTTTGCTGGGCGTTCCATCACCCCGGAAGAAAACCCCCTATTTCCCCCCATCGCCTGCCCCTTGAGTCCGCTCTGTCCTCGCCGATCTCAGATCTCCTTCTGTGAACCGGCCAGTGTCTGGCTGTCACTCAGCGTCACATGTCTGGGGTTCACGGGCCAGGCGCTGCCCCCGCCCCCGTCCTGCACGCTGCCCAGTGACCGCCCGGACGCTCTGTGCACAGCCGAGGGGGCTGACTTCTCCTGTGCTGCGCCTCCCTCCACAGACGCCGCTCCTCGATGACCCCGTCTTCATCCACCCCAGCTCCGTCCTTTTCAGAGAGCTCCCCGAGTTTGTGGTCTACCAGGAAATCGTGGAGACCACCAAGATGTACATGAAAGGTAGCAGCGTGGCCGGGTGCGGGGTGTCGCTGCCTGGGACCTCGGGGAGCCTGAGGCCCCTGGTGGTGGCGCACCCCCTGACGCCCAGACCTTCTCCCCGGCCCCAGGCCTCTCGGCCGTGGAGATCCAGTGGATCCCGGTGCTGCTGCCTTCTTACTGCCAGTTCGAGAAGCCCCTAGAGGAGCCCCCACCCATCTACTGCCCCGAGAAGGGGCGGGTGCTGTGCCACCGGCCCAGCATCTTCTGTGAGTTGGATTCCTGCGGCCTTGGGCCCTGCAGACACCCGTCCTCTGGCCTAGGCGTGCGTGTGTGTGAGTGTGTGCGTGCATGTGTGTGTCCATGCGGCGGCTCTGCCCCTTCAGTGGGCCTCGGGGGCTCCATCCCTGCGCCGCTCACTGCCTCTTGCCCTCAGACCGCGTCGGCTGGCCCCTCCCCGCGGCCCAGGTGGACTTTCCAGAGGGCATCGATCGCTACAAACACTTTGCCCGGTTCCTGCTGGAAGGACAGGTGGGTGGCGGCCAGTGGCTCCCTTTGGCCCCTCCTCTCAGACATGGGGTTCGCAGGGAGCCTGAGACCCTCCTCTGTTCCTCAGGTCTTCCGCAGGCTGGCTGCCTTCCAGGGCTGCTTGCTGTCCAGGCCCAGCACCATGCTCAAGACGTGGGCCAGGTACTGCCCCGGGCGCCGTGGGCGGGCAGGTGTGAGGGTGGTGCTGGTGTCCCGGGGCCACCGATGGAAAGACCGACCTTGTGACTTCAGACCACAGAAAGTTACTCTCTGACAGTCCTGGAGGCCAGAGGTTCAAGGCCAAGGTGTGGGCAGGGCCATCTCCCTCTGAAGGCTCCTGGTGGCCGTGGCCGCTTCAGGCGCCGTCCACGTAAGGGTACATCTGAGGTGGTTTGGGGGTACACTGTCAACTCCAGAAAGCTGCTAGGTGTCAACAGAAGGCAGCCACACACCTGAGCCCTGAGGTTACTCCAGCGAGAAAGGCCCACCCCCAGAACCTGCCTCTACCTGTCCCCACCCCGCCTTTGTCACCTTTCTGCCGTGACCCAGCCCCACAGAGACGCCTCCCCTTTGAGGCTAGTGCCCCTGCTGGTACAGAGGCCTGAGGCAGGCACCAGACCAGCACCCTAACACTGCCCCTCACCCCACCCCTGTGGATGGTCACATCTGCTCTGCCCGAAATCATGCATGACCCTGGACCCCGTTCAGGCCCAGGGAAACCCCCAAACGGAGTAGCTAGTATGGTTGGCGGTGGTGACAGGGCCCTGCAGGGCCAAAGCAGGACACTGGGGATGTGGCGTCAGGTGGGGCTGGTCAGGGAGAGCCAGAGGCGAGGTGGGCAGACATTGAGGAAGGCTCCAGAAGGAGTGTGCAGCATGTGCCAGGGCTGCCTGTGTGCAAGGTGCCCAGGGAGCAGAGGCAAGAAGACAGTGCAGATGGAGGGAGACTTTTTGCCCCAGGCCTGCAGTGGCCAGTGCTGAACAGCCTGAGGCCCCAAGACCTTGGTCCCCTGCAGGCTACAGCCCAGGACGGAGAGTCTCCTGAGAGCCCTGGCAGCCGAGAAGGCTGACAACCAAGATGCCATGCTGGCTGCCTGGAAGAAAAACCCCAAATGTGAGTTGACCAAGATGCCTCCATGGCCGAGGGGGTGGGAGTGACGGGCCCACCGGTCACCCAGGGCTGGCGGAAGGATCTGCCCTGCAGCCGCTGGCGGCCAGGTCAACCACCACCACCGCCTCTCCCCAGACCTGCTGGCTGAGTACTGCGAGTGGCTCCCCCAAGCCATGCACGCCGACGTCCAGAAAGCCTGGCCCCCCACTTCCGACCGCTGACCCCTGGCCTGCTGGCCGAGTGCTGCGAGTGGACCCCCAAGGCCGGGCACGCTGACATCGGAAAAGCCTCGTCCCACCGCTGAGCGCTGATGGGGCTGGCCGCAGGGCCGGGACTGCTCCGGGAGGCTGGCCAGCCTGGGACGCTCCTTACCTCAGCCCCGCAGCTGTCCGCCCCCTGGCGGTGGCTCTCGGTGTGACCGTAGTACGTGCCGGCCGGCGATTGCCGGTGCCTGGTGGTGTGGACGTTAGTCCCTGCGGGGTGGCACGGCCTTGGGCTCAGTGGCCAGAGCAGGAAGGGTCCTGCCTCTGCACCACTTTGTTCAGGGGAAGGGTGGCCAGGGGTGGCGTGTCCCCGACGTGGTCGGCTGCCTCACACCCTGCGTGGGCTCTGCCGGACATGCCCACACAGCCTTCCCGTGGACCGCGAGCCCACGCCCTGAGGACCCGACCCTTCCCTGCCTCTTCCCCCAGTGTGAGGGAGGAAGGTAGAGGACGTGGGGGGTCCCCAGGTGAGCAGGAGGAACAGACTTGCAGGCCCTAGATTCCCCCGTCACGGCCTCTCGCGGCTGCAGCCTTTGGCAGGGGCAGGGTGATTGGGGCTGTGAGGTAAAGTACCCTCCACCCAGGTCGTCTTGCCTGATGGACACGCAGGTGGCACCGCGGCCCAGGGCTGGGGCTGGGCAGCAGGGCTCCCCCGGGCCAGCTGCCCTGCTCTCCGGCGCCTGTGGCGGCCTCGCTGGGTGTTCCTGCCGCCCAGGCTGCTTCGGGACTCGGCAGCTGCCCTTTTCCCCGTCCGTCCTTGAGGCCAGGCCCTTCTCGCCCCTCACCCTCCCTGGACCTTAGCCCTCCAGTGCCTTCAAGGTGAGACCCCCGTGGCCACAGACCGCACAGCAATAGGCGAAAGTGGGGGGTCATTCCCCCTCCGAAATCTGGGCTCCAGCCTCTCCGGGAAACCAGGCCGGCCTCACCGGTGCTGGCTGCTGTGCCGAGGGAGGAGCCGCAGCCCACCCCCGCCCACCTTCCTGTCAGCTGCGGGGAGGAAACTACCTGGGCAGGGTTTCGACCTTGGGGTTTTTGGTTTTGTTTTTGAGATACCGTTGACCTGTACAGATCTCATCACTCTGAAGTGTACAGTCAGTGGCGTGTGGGTGTGTGTTTGTGAGAGGGAGCTAGAGACACATGCACACAGAGAGAGAGGTGGGTAACTTATCACTAATTCCAGAGCATTTTCCTGACGAAAGAAACCCGGGCCCCGTCAGCAGTCAGCCCCAGCCCCAACCAGCTGCCGGCCTCCCCCAGGCTGTCACTCGCCTCTAGAGCTCGCACAGCACCCGCTCCCGAGTCTGGCTCCTCGGGGGAGGCGCCCGTGAGCACGCCGCTCCTCTTCCCAGCCGCTCCTCTTCCCCACTGTTGGCCACAGCACACCTTGCTCACCCACACGCCGGCTGCTGGTCGCGATCGTTTCTGCCTTTCACCTGTGGTGAATGCAGCCTTTATTGCCCATTTCATCAGGTTCCTCATCTCCCTGAGCTTGTGAGGGTTCTGGAAACACCCGTCAGGTGACAGGCAGGTATTCTCGCCTGTTCAAGTTGCTTTTGCACTTTGACGGTCCCTTTGAAATAAAAGGATTTAGTTTGGACCAAAGTCCATTTTATTGTGTTTTTCCACATAGCTTGTGTTTTTGGTGTCTGCCTAAGGAGCCGCGGCCTTTCCCTCGTGTTCCCTTGTAAGAGTTTCATCATTTTAGCTCTTCGTCTGCCTTGGTTTTTGCATCTGGTGTGAGGTTGATGGCCCGTGACACTGCGCATGGCTGGTTGTCCCAGGGCCCTGTGCTGGAGTTTGTGTGCCCCCCTCCCCCCCATGCACACCACTGAATGGACTGGGACTCCTTGTCAGAAGCTAAACAGGTTCGGGGCCTCCCTGGTAGCAATCTGCAGCCACTGCAGCATGAGTTCGATCCCCGGCCAGGGAGCTGACCCACAGGGCGCAGCAGACCTCTCCTGTCTCCCCGCTGCTCCCCTCGGCAGTGGATTTCAGTGGATCCTCCTTTTCTGCTCCCCACTCTGTTTCTGGTGATCCTCTCACCCTCCCCAACTCTTGCCTATACCCCAGCTCTTATACACATACATAAATCTTAAAAAAAAAAAAAAAAAAAAAAAGCTGAACAGATTGACAGGTATATTTCTGCACTGATTCGACACTTTTTGCACATACTATGACATTCAAAAGGACCAGAAGGTTCTAGAAGGGAAAGGGAGTCCTTCCCAGAGCGCATGCTGGGCTCGGCTCCCTGTCTGCAGACCCGCAGGGAGCACCCTGTCGCCCTGTGCACATGGAGCCCCTGCCCTGTCGTTTTCAACAACTGCACAAGGTCCCCTAATAGGCAACTCTGCCATAATTGTTGAAGCCAGACTCCGGTGACGGTACTTTCTCGTCATTTGCCATGTGAACACAACCGTTAAAGACCCTCGTGTGTCATTTCACGCCTGTGTGTATACCTGTGCATCACACCCAGAGGTGGAGTCGCTGGGGCAAGGGACAGGGTGTGTCCTCATCTTGAAGGAGAGGTGGTCCAGGGACGGAGGTCCGGGGAGCCGGGACCTGCATTGCTCTTCTCAGGACCAGGTGCGCTGCCTGCAGCCTGCTCGAGTCCCTCTGCGGACCCCCGTCATTGGAGAGCCTAAGGTCCTCTGCGTGGCTTCCAAGGGTGTGCAGACACAGACCTGCTTTCCTGTGTCATCACACCACATGCCCTCAGGCCACCCTGGGTCCCTGCATCTTCTCAGAAGCACCCTGTCAGCTGCGCAGGGGCTGTTCCCTCACTAACAAGCCTCTGTGTGGTTTTTCGCCTTCAGGGGTCCCACCTGGTCACTGGCCAGTCGCCCACCCTGGACCCTGGCGGTGGTGGCGGCAGGCGCTGTGTTTCTCGCTGTCAGCACACCCCATGTGAGCACCGACACCCCGAAAGTTGCAGGGAATGCCTAAAAGGCTCACGGAAAGCTTTAAAGCAAGATAGAAACCACAGAGGAAAGAGATGACGTTTGATCCAGAATGTTCTATCCATGTGGAGCGTGGTCTAAGGTTAGAAGACGGAGGCCAGGCGGAGAGCTGGCCTCAGGGTCAGGATACAGCCACACGGGAGGCTGCGCCATCCGGCCACCCTCGCACCCTGCAGCGGGGGAGAAAGGGGAGCCCCACCAACACCTGGGCGGGGAGAGTCCAGAGGGTGCGCACCTTCATGCCTGGTAGTGAAATCGGGGAGCCCGGCCCTCGGGGAGATACCTGGCCACTGCCAGGAGTCGCAGCGCGGCGCCCCCAGGGCCGCTGGCGGAGATGGGCAGAGGCTGGGCAGCGCCCGACCCGCGGGCTGAGGGGTGAGCCGTGACCCACGGGGTCAGTTAGGGGTCAGGGGGCGCCTTCAGGGGCAGCATGGGCAGGGCCCGTGGACACTGGCTTCACACGCATCTGCTTTGCTCCTTGAAGTTGTGGGGTTTCGGCCTCTCGAGTGTCCGCTCACACCCGTAGGAACACCACCTTCCCGAAGGCCCTGGGGGTGTCCACACAGGCTCCTCTCGGCCCCTGGGGGTGTCCACCCAGACAGGCTCCTCTCGGCCCCCGGGGGTGTCCACACAGGCTCCTCTCGGCCCCCGGGGGTGCCCACCCAGACAGGCTCCTCTCGGCCCCCGGGGGTGCCCACCCAGACAGGCTCCTCTCGGCCCCCGGGGGTGCCCACCCAGACAGGCTCCTCTCGGCCCCCGGGGGTGCCCACCCAGACAGGCTCCTCTCGGCCCCCGGGGGTGCCCACCCAGACAGGCTCCTCTCGGCCCCCGGGGGTGCCCACCCAGACAGGCTCCTCTCGGCCCCCGGGGGTGCCCACCCAGACAGGCTCCTCTCGGCCCCGGGGGTGCCCACCCAGACAGGCTCCTCTCGGCCCCGGGGGTGTCCACCCAGACAGGCTCCTCTCGGCCCCCGGGGGTGTCCACCCAGACAGGCTCCTCTCGGCCCCGGGGGTGTCCACCCAGACAGGCTCCTCTCGGCCCCCGGGGGTGTCCACCCAGACAGGCTCCTCTCGGCCCCCGGGGGTGTCCACCCAGACAGGCTCCTCTCGGCCCCCGGGGGTGTCCACCCAGACAGGCTCCTCTCGGCCCCCGGGGGTGTCCACCCAGACAGGCTCCTCTCAGCACCCCGGGGGTGTCCGCCCAGACAGGCTCCTCTCAGAGCGGGCTGCGACGCCCTCCCAGTCGGACCCACTCTTTCCCCACCAGTGCCCAGTCACAAACCCCGGTACCCCCGCCTTCCCCCCGTTCCCCCCTCCCCCCCCGCCGGCTCCCACCCCCCCCCGGCCCCCCGACACCCCCCCCGCCTCGGCCCCCTGGCCTCGGCGCGCACCCAGGCGCTCGCGGCCGGCGCAGCCCCAGCCCCCGCTCCATCCGGGCCCCGGGGCCGGCCCTGGGCCCCGACAGCGGCCCCCGCCGGCCCCGTGCGCGCCCAGGCCCCCCTTCTCGGGCGCCGGGTCCCCTCGCTCCTCGCGTCCCTCCAGTCACGGCCTAGAGGGAAAAAAAGTGGCAAAAAATGGAGATGCCGGGGATTGAACCCGGGGCCTCATACATGCAAAGCATGCGCTCTACCACTGAGCTACATCCCCTGGCCGCGACTATGCTCCCCGCCAGCCTGGATAGAGCGGCCGCCGGGTCCTGCGGGTCCCCTGGCGGGGCGCGGGGCGGAGTCTGCGCGGCCGCGTCTCTATGGGCGGGCGGGCGGCGGCCTCGCCGCGGCTCGTCCTCGTTAGTATAGTGGTGAGTATCCCCGCCTGTCACGCGGGAGACCGGGGTTCGATTCCCCGACGGGGAGGCCGCGCTTGCATTTTAAATACGAGGAAGCCTCTTCGCCCTTTGTTTCCTGAGGCCGCAGTGACCTCGGTCACCTGCAGGGACCTGCACGGGGCGTGTGGCATTAAAAATAACCCTGGAGAGGATGAGGGTGCGCGCGAGTGTACCTGAGTTTCCTCTTATGGAAAAGTAATATATAAACATTAATTTAAAAGGATACCTGCGCCCCTTTATTTATTGCAGCACTTTTTATTATAGGTACGATATGGAAACAACCCAAATGCCCAAAAACAGGTGACTGGATCAAGAAGATGTGGCCTACATACACCGGGGAATACTACTCAGCAACAAAAAAGATTAACTCTTGCCATTCGCGGCAACGTGGATGGAGCTAGAAGGGGTTGTGCTCAGTGAAGTAAGTCAGAAGGAAAAGGAAAACTATCAGATGGTTTCACTTCTAGAAGGAATATAGGGGAACCAAATAAGGGATCAGAAAAATACAAACAATAAACCAAAAACCAAAATCAACAGGCAGCTATAAATCAGAGACGTTCTGCAGGGGAGAGGGATCGAAACAGGGGCGGGAGAGCACGAGGGACTGTGGGGTGGTGCACGGGTGACAGCATGGGGATTGCGTGGGGACTACACCTGAGAGGAGAAAGCACATGTGCTCGCTTCGGCAGCACATATACTAAAATTGAGAGGAGAAAGCACACATTGGACAACAATGAACAATGATGTAAAATATTTATAAATAAATACATTATTTTGAAAACCTTTATTACACACCGTGTGACTGCAGAACACCTGTGTATGTCCTCCTTAAAGGCCTTTATTCCTCCCAGCACGGGTTAAAACAGTATAAAATATGGGCAGAACCAAGATGAAAATGCATACATTGTACAAAAATGAAAAATGATGTAAAATATTGTAGAGGCCAGGACTGGACACTGAGCAGGTCTTCTGATCCCATGCAGACAGGGTAAAGGAGGAGTCAGAGTCCTTAGTGGCTTTTTGCAGGTCTTTTTATTGGGATTTACCCGGTACACGGCAGGCAGGGGTGCTGGGGGGCCGGGAGGCTGGCAGGCCTCCCAGCCCCCAGCAAGTCTTCAGTCTGTCTGGGCTCTCCGGCCTTCTCTCTGCTCTTCCGTTCATTCTGCTGTTTCTCTGCTTCTCTCTCGGCTTCTCCTGGCGTCCCCGTGACGCTGCCCTTAAAAAGCCCAGTCTTAGCCCAGGTGAATCCCATCTACCTGGGCCCACCCTGCTCCAGGTGCCGCCATCAGGCCTGCAGTCAGGACCGCAGGATCCATCATCCATCCTGATGGCGGGAGGGCAGAAAAGCCTGACATTTTTCCTTACCCTACAAATATATAAAATAAAAAAATAAAGATAAAAGAGATGACATATGTCATCTTAAAAACAAAAACAGAAACAAAAAAATATATATGGGCAGAAATCTCACCTGCTTTGGGGAGTCGCTTTTGGTCTGTGATTCCCCTGGGCACACAACATTTAAAATTACTGACTTTGTAAGTGTAGGGTAAGTAAATGACATCGGGCTTTTCTGCCCTCCCGCCATTAGCATGAATGATGGATCCTTGCGGTCCTGACTGCAAGCCTGATGGCGGCACCTGGAGTGGGGTGTGGGCGTATGTAGATGGGATTCACCTGGGCTGAGACTGGGCTTTTAAGGGGGGGTGTCACGGGGACGCCAGGAGAGCAGAAAGCAGAACTACGAGAGAAGCAGAGAGAACGGGAGAGAAGGCCGGAGAGCCCAGACAGAGTGAAGACTTGCTGGGGGCTGGGAGGCCTGCC